TTTCCAAAGGGGGTGAGGGGCTTCCGAAGCTCCACCCCTCCCCTCCTTCTGTGGGCTTTTCCAGCTGGAGGGCCCTGGCTGAAGGTGGGGGGTTCGAAACTACCTTTTTGTATGCTTCTCGGCGCCCCTTGTGGTTTCGGCGTCTCTTGAGTTTTCGGCGCTCCTTTGGCCTTTGGCGCCCCTCTGGTTTTCGGCGCCCCTGTGGTTTCCAGCGCTCCTTTCGTTTCCGACGCTCCCGTGGTTTTCGGCGCTCTGTTGGTTTTCGGCGTTCCTTTGGTTTCGGCGCATCGTTGGTTTTCGGCGCCCTCTTGAGTTCCGGCGCCCCTTTGGCTTTTGGCGCCCTCCTGGTTTTCGGCGCCTCGCTGGTTTTTCTTCGGCGAACCTTGAGTTCCCGGCGTTCTTTAGGTTTTCGGCGCCAGCATCTGGTTTTTGGCGCCCTTGGGGCGTGGCCGAGGCTCAGAGGAGGAGAGGGCACCGACACCGCTGCCCTTCCATCGTCTCGGGTCGGGCGAAAGGGGGGGTTTGGGAAAGAGAGGGTTACGAAACCAGCTACATGCAGCTGGTTTCGGCCCCGCCGCCGGGCCCATTCCTCGATACATGGGCGCCTCCTGGCGCCGGGAGGCGCCGGGAAAATCAGCTACGTGAGCTGATTCTCACCCCCCCCCTTTGCTATCCCCCCCTTTCGCCCGACCCGATCGTCGCCACACCTGGGCATGCGCCCCGACGCCTTGGCCCGCGCGCGCCTCGGGAGAGAGGTCCGCGGAGCAGCGGCATCGGCACCCTGCTGCTCCCGCAGGGCGAAGGATTGCAAAAAGGATTGCAACAAAACCCTTCGAGGTCTTTTTGCAATCCTTCGAGTTTTTTTTGCAATCCTTCGAAAAAAACGAAGGTTTGCAATCCTTCGAGGTTTTTTTGCAATCCTTCGCACCGGTGGGGCTGCCGCCCCGTGGGGCTCGCGGCTCCCGCGGCGAGGGGTTCCCTCGGTCCGCGTCGCGCTGGCGCGGGCGCCGGTGCTCGCTCGGCAACACCCCAGAATACTTATACTATATGTGCGTCGCCCCCCCAGGGGCGACGCGCGCACCGAGAAATCTTATAGTATATGCGTCGTGGCGGGCGCTTTCTGGCCACAACGCTCGGGAAACGATATACTACAAGATGGGTATACTATATGTTGGGGTCGGACGCGCGCCTCCAAGGAGGACATATAGTATTAGTATGTCCATGTGCGTCCCACTCGCCGCCGTGGGCCCGCGGGCGGCGTGGGACGGCCTGCAGGCCGTCGGAGGCGTGCGCGGTGCCTCCCCGCCCCCTTTCGGGTCGGGCGAAAGTGGGGGGATTGGGGAAGGGGGGGTTACGAAATTGGCTGCATGCAGCTGGTTTCGGCCTCGCCGATGGGCCAGTTCCTCGATGCATGGGCGCCTCCCGGCGCCGGGAGGCGCCGGGAAAATCAGCCACGTGAGCTGATTCTCAAACCCCCCCTTTGCTATCCCCCCCCCTTTCGCCCGACCCGAACCTTGGTCTGTGAAGGGCTGTCCCCCCCGCTGGGCGCTGGCGTCTTGGGGTTTACGTCGGGCGTGTCCCTCTGCAGGTGGAATATGCACAAATAGTCAAGACATAGTCCTGGGACCATTTTTTCCAAATATTGGTGACTACTTTGGGGTGTGCTTAAAGTATGGTTTAATTTTCGCCCACGATCGCCCTGTAGGGGGACATGCCCGACCTAATCTTGAGGGGCGGTCTCGTGGGTCCTGAGCTGCTCTCAGCGTGCCTGTGCCTTGTTTCCTGGCAGCGGGCCATCATCGGCATCATCGCCTCCAACCACAGTAACGATTTCCACGCCGTTCGCCACCGTCGTCCGCAGCCGTTTTGGCTCAAGGAACCGTTCTGGCTCAGGCTTTTATAGCCGCAGCTTGCAGCAACATGCCTTCAGAACGGCCTGGTGCTGTTGCGGGCCTTTGGCTCGGTGTTCTCGTTGAGGGCGTTCCCGCAGCCATCTCCTCAGGGACTCGCTCGCCACCACGTCCACGCGGCGGCAATGGCAGGCGGCTCAGGCGGCGGCGGCGGCGGCGGCGGCGGAAACAAAATTCACCCGGGCCCTGTGGCATCGCGGGCGGAGCGGCTCGCATCTGGCGTCGGGTGGCGGGCCTCACCACTCCCCCACAGCAGGTCCCAGGTGCTGTATGAACATTCGTGGCCGCCCCTCTTTCATGGACTTCTAGTGGCTGGCCCCTCTCATACTCGTGATGGAGTTCGCCGTCCGCCAGCCAAGGGACAAAGCTGGACGTGCATTTCCTGCGGTTGTGCGAAGAATGAATCGCGGTTCTACTTTTGCAAACACTGCGGCGCTCTCAAGGCAGCCAGCATGGTCGACCCGAGCCCCACGTGGGCCGCAGGACCGCCAAGTGCAGGCGTCCCGCAGGCCAGCGCTCAGGGGCTCGCTGGTGGCGTTGCAAGTGGTGGCGTAGGCGGAGGCAAGGGAGGCAAGGGGCACTCTGACGCTGCCTTCCTGGCACACGCAGTTGGGCATTCTGACGCAGCCTCTCCAGCAGAAGAGCATACGCAGCTGGCCATTCTGCGCGAAAAGCTGGGCGACAAGGTCGGCGCCGCAGCCCGTCGGGTCGCGGCCCTGGCGCTCATCGGGCCCAAGTTTGTACCATAATCGACACATGTCCAGCTCAACAGTGCTCACCAATGTGCCAAAGCTATTGAACGCAAGCTGGAGCAGGCAGTTGGCAAGTACGAGCACCTCGAGAAGCAGTTCGCCTCTCAACGCGACTTCGCGGTACAGCCTCGGTCGGATCTCATCGAGGTTGAGGAGCAGCACAAGCGGCTGGTTCACCAGCTGCACGACACGTTGCCTCGAGAGCCCGAGCGTGTTGCACGGCTTCCTGCAGAGGTTTTTTTTCCTGAATACAAGTTCGCGTCTTTCTTTGGCATTTACATCGGCGACATGCTCAAGATGGACGACACTGACATGGGCCCAGAGGATCAGAGAGAAGTGGGCTCCAGGGTAGAGCAGCTCAAGAGCGGTTTCGGCACACTGGCGAAGGATCTTGTTCTGTCAGGCGAAAGACAAGATGAACGCTGTCAAGGCTGAGTAGGCGGCCCATGTTGATCGAGTCCGTCTCAGAATTCGTCGCGCTCATGCAGGCGCAGAGGCTGGTGCCCCTGGCGGGGCCTCGGCAGGAGGCGACACTGGCGGAGCATATGCAGATGCCGCCAGTGAGGCAGGAGCTGGCGCCTCGGCAGCGGCTGCAGCGGCGTCATCTACATGGGTTTCTGCGACTGCACCCTCGGACTCCGCTCAGTCGTGCTTGCTGTTTGCATCGCGGGTCCAGTCAGCCTTGTGCTTCCTCCCTCCCCTCTGCGTGAGCGACCATGTTGGCCAGCTTTCGATGGCCCCTGGGCGTGCTTCCTTGGCCCCGCGGGTCCTGGGGCCCATCCGTGTGGCCAGCCTGGACTTTCGGCGAAATCCACGCAGGGGGGATCTGACCTTTGTTGAATTTCTGGCACCAAGATGTCGCGCTCCGCTGACGCGGTTCGACAAGCCCTCTGGCGCAAGAGGAGAATGCCTCTCCTGTTTGCGTGTCTGCCTGCTCCCTGATCGTCTACAGCAGAGGGTCCCATCTTGCCGATTGTCCTCTCAGCTGGCTCGTGCCGCTGCTGCGTCTGCTCTGCCAGCTGCCGCCGGCCCGGGTTGCTCTTGTTTTAGGCAGCAGGCCCCCTGCGACTTTTCTAAACCTTCGCTTGTGTATCCAGTGAGCTCGCTGGTCAAAAAGACTCCTGGTCGCGCCGCCTTGGTCAGGCCCCCGTTGCCTGCCCCGTCGGCCCGTGAGGTAAGGGGGGCTTGCATGTCTGGGAACGCGTGCCTCGGGGACCTTGAAACGTTGGTGGATCAGGGTACCCGGCGCCGCTCTCTGTCGCCTCCTTCTGCTCGACCCGCTCGGTCTTTGGCCTTAGAGCGCCCGGGCGATGCCGATGAGGCGTCGCCTGACATGCATTCGCCCTGCGCTGGTCAGCGGCGCGGCAGCTCGGAGCACAATGGTTCGGTTGCTCTTAAGGTTCGGACCATCAGTACCAACTCATGGGGTACTCTCCGTTCCCAGATCGTAGGCAGCGACGCTCGCCTTCTGCTCTGCCAAGAGCGCCGTCTGATCCTGCAAGATGATATAGGTGCGGCTAGCGCCCGGTGCCTCCGCCGCGGCTGGAAGTCTGCGCGGTCGCCCGCCACTGCCGCGGAGGCGGGGGGTGCCCAGTGGGGGCGTCGCCATTGTGAGCAGCTGGCTGGGGTGCCTGGGCTTCCCGGGGGGCAATTTTTGTCAGGGCAGGGGCCTGGCGCGTTCGGTCGAGCCCCCCGGGGCCCCCCTCTTGCTTGGTCGCGTCTGCGTACCTTCATCGCTTTGAAGGTATGTCCGACAGAAGCTTGCAGTTGCTCGCTGATGTCGGATCGGCGCCCTCTACCTCTGCTCGGTCGTGGATTTCGTGCATGTGCTGATGTCAACCTGGAGAGGCGCGTGCTGCACGGCGCCCAGTTTGTGCGCGAGCTCCGCGGCGTGCTCGCGGCGCCGAAGGTCAGCGCGCGCCATCCTGCTGGCGCCCCCACCACGTTCGATTTCTTCGCTGTTTCCAGCGGGTTGGCCAATGCTAGCCAGCGGACCGACGCGATGTTGGACGCGGAGCTCTCCGCCTCTGCCTGTTGAAGGGGTTCTTGGGCCGTCGCCGCCCCCTCCGGCGCGGTCTACCGCGCAGTCTTTGGCTGACCGCGCGCAGACCCTCACCGACGATGGGGGGCGCTACTGGGCTCGGGATCTTCTCGGGGAGCTGCGCCAGTCTTGGGCGGGCCTGGCCGAGCGCGAGTTGGCCCCTCCTGTTTGTTCTTCGTCTTCCTTGTGCTGATCTGGAAGTCGGCCCTTGCCAAATATTATCGGGTCCGACACCCTGGCCATCGTGCTATCCGCTGGCTCGGCCAGCAGCGTCGGGCTTAATCCAGTCGCCGCGAGATGATGTCCACTCAGCGACCTCGAGGGGGCTTAGGTCGCTGCTGCTACAGCCACCGCTTGGAATTCTTGAAGCACGAGAAGAACACTCCCATTTTCGAGCAGGTGACATCAGCGGTGGGGGCCTCAGCTGGCCCGCCGTCCTTCTCTCACTTGCACTTTCAGGTGCGCGTGGCTGTCCAGGCCGCCGGCAGCAAGTATGCCGCTCGCAGCAGGGGTGACTGGAATGCTCGGCTCCATTGCGGCGTCTCGTCGGACGCGAAGAGCGTGCGCATGCTCTTGCGCGATTCCCCGCCCTGGGTTGCCTCGAGCACGCTTCCCGCCGAGGGCTGCGCCGCTTCGGGCCCGCTGTCCCTTCCCAAGGCCGAGGGCCAGAGGTTTCCGGGACCCCTGGGGCCAAGGGGGAGGGGCTGTTGTCTCCCGCGAAATCTTGCCCCCCCCCCCTTCCCAGGCTTTCGGCCTAGGCCATTCGGGACATATCGGAATCCTATTAGGGCTCTTCGGCGATCTCGTTTGACGGCTTCCACTGCCGTCACTATTCCATGTTGTACTACGATGTTTTCAAATGTTTCGGCAGCATCCTGAGCGTCGTGGAGGCCGCAGGTTGCCTGCCACTGCAGATTTCGTGGTCTCGACTGGCGGCAACAGGTCGATGGGGGTCTCCTGCCATTGGTTCAGGGTGCGGGGGGCGCTGCAGGCGCTCATTGGTCCTGGACTGGGAGCTAGAGAACCCCCGTCGGTACTTGGCCGTTGGTCCGTTTCGCGGAGCAGCTGATGCTGCCCGGAGATAGGCGGCGACCGCTGAGAGCGGGCTCCCCAGAGCAAGGGCCAGCTGTAGTACCTCTTCGAATTATCTATGTTCTACTAAAGCATTCGTCTGGACAAGCTCTACCATCGTTGCCAAAGGCTGGGGTTCCCCACGGTGATGGCTCGACTGTGCCTATACGCCGACCGCTGCGGGCGCCTTCCTAATGTTGGGGACTGGTTGGAGGGCCCCCCTATTTCTGCGTGAATGGGGCCATCGCTCGCTGCTAGATGGCCACCGCGCCCGTCCGCTTCTATTGCGTGGGAAGTTTGATGACCAGGGCCTCTGGGCCATGGGTAAATTTGGGTTCGTCGTTTCGTCCGTCGCTGCAGGGGCCAAGGCCCTCGACCAAGTTGTTCAGCAGTAGTTTGAGTGCTTTTTCTCCCTTGATCAGGCAGCTGTCGTTGCGAGTTCGAAATTTGCGGGGTTCCCGGTCTGGATCAGCTCAGCAATATTTGCAGCGACTGCTCTCCTGCCGCGGTCAGCCTCGGGGTTGATTACGCGGCGGCGGGGGGGGGGGCATCCGAATGGCTGGCAAGCCGGCCAAGCTGCAGGCTAAGGTGCGATCCAGAACGGCGATCCTTAGAGTCGTACTCTGCGGGCCCCTTAGCTGGTGCTTCTTATGGAACTGAGGTGACTGGTATTGGCGACCACGACCTTAGCCTGCTTCGTCGCCGCATTTTGTTTTGTAGTTCGGCCGCGGAGCCAACTGAGGTCGTTGACGACCAGCGCGCAGCCGCGGCACCCATTCTGAGGTGATGTAAAGAAGTATGGACCAGTCAGACATCGACCTACCCGCGGGCGCTCAGCCTGTCTTATCTTGAAGCTGCCTGGGGTTCGGTTTTCGCTCGGGACAGCCTCTCGTCGCGTCAGGTTGCTGGGCCCGCGTTGGCCCTTCGCATGTCCCTGGTCCGCATTGGCTGCCGCGTGCGAGACTTTATGTTTCTCTTCGACGACGTTGGCAGAATTATCCCCCTTGGGCTGTTTTCCCCCGCCCGCGTTAGGACTCTGGTCCGAGGAGGGCATCTGCGCGTGCTGGAGCGCGACTCTGCCGCGATGAGGGGGGTCACCCCCAGGATTTGTCGCGACAATGGTCGTCGGGCCATTCCCCCTCGGCCCAGCGAGTTCACGCCCGGCAGATGGCGAGGATTACGGCTTTTGCCACGGGAGCCTTCTTCGCGGCTGCTGAGGCTGAAGATCTTGGCTATGTTATGTCTCCTGTTGTTGTGCACTGCGGGGTGAGAGACACGATTGCCCACCAGCTGCGGGCATGCCAACATCCAGAAGTTGTGGGGGCCGAATCAGACGCTGCGAGCGAAGGCACCACGCATGCTGCTCTGGCCGCTAAGGCGTCAAGCGACCTCGACGCCTACTTCGCGTTTATATCTGGGGCCTTTCGGCACCCCGCCGACGTCGACCCGAGGTCCCGCAGTGAGGCCGACGATGGCCCCTTCCTCAAGTGGCATGTTCGACCCGACTCGGCTCCTGGCGGAGGGCCCATCACTAATATATTGTGGGGTTCGCTGTTCGTGGACGGCTTGTGTGCCTATCGCCCAGTTCGGGAGCTCTGTAGGGCTGCTAGCTCGGTCTGCATGGTGAATTCTGAGGGGGTCTTGGTGGCTGAATTTGGAGCCCCTGTCTGGGGCCCCTGCCCCCAGACCCCTTCAGAGCGCCGAGTTTAGTGCCTTCACGCGGGCCACTGTTATGGCTGCGGCCCCAGCTGATTGCCACGTTTACTCGGACTGCTCCAATGTGGTGAAATTGGACGGTTGATCGAAGCCCGGGCAACTCTCGCATAAGAAGATGTATCCCGGTGCGTTCGTGCAGTGTCATGGGCAGTTTTCGGATGTCACGGGGTGTACCAAAGTTGACGCCCATAAAGACATCGATGCTGCTTCGATCGACGCTGCCGAGAAATGGCGTCGCATTGGCAGTAGTGTTGTAGATGTGGGCGCTAAATTTGCTCTCGTGATTCACCCTGCTGATGCTGGATTCCGGCGAGACTCTGACGAGCAGGTTCGGTTCGGTCAGATCACCCTGATGGCCGAATATGTCCCCCAGCCCCCTCGGGCGAATCGTTTCTGCTTGCCGTCGCTGGGAACGTTGGGCTGGTGTTCGGAAATGCGCCAACTGCCTCGGGGGTTTTAGGTCGCCCAGCACCCCCCCTGGAGGTCGCTGCCCCCGTGACAGCAAGCGCCGCGTTGATCCCCAGGACCGTCTAGGCCATAGAAGGATTGCTTTCGATTGTTCGGACCACCCGGTGCTCTTCATGCGCATTACGTGCAAGTGCTATTCGACTGGGGGCGAGGTCAGAGGCTCGGCCAATAAATGCCGCCTCCCCTCTCGTGCCGGCCGTTTTGGGTGGGCCAATTTATGCCGCCGCAAGCACCCGCGCTACTCTAGGCGCAAGAATGGTGTTACCGTCGACATTGGCTCTTTTGTTGAGCGCTTTAACAGGCCGGCCTTTGACGATAATAACCTCGGCCTGGAGGCCGTGCGGTCTCAGCGTGCCATCTCTGCCCCCGCTGCTGCTGCTGCCGCCTCCTCCTCTGGGGCGGGGCGGAGGGTGGAGCTGGGCGGGCGCGGGGTGGGAAAGATTGGTCCTAGTTTCCCTCGGGCCGCAGCTTTTGGAGGCTGCGCGTTGGGAGTGCGATGTTGCAGCCGAAGAGGGGGCTTCCAGGTTCCTGTTCGGTCCCCTTCCTGGATCCGATCCTGCCGCGCAGGTTGAGCCTGGACTGGCGGCTTGCGCTGTCGCCGCTCTCGGCGTCTCGGCCGGCAGTTTTGCCAGTCATTTTCCGCCTTCTCTGGAGGAAATGGCAGTCGTGAGGCCCCTGGGCCCTCCGAGTGCCGCGGCCCCCCGATCGAGGGTCGCCGTCGGCTCTGCCGTCGGCTGTGCCTCGGGCCCTCGGTTGGGGGGTGCCGATGGCACGAGGAGCGGGAATCGTGCCGCTGCTTCGTGCAGCGCGGGCGGGATCCGCTGTCACGGGGGGGTCGCGAAAACGAGACTTCGGGGTCGGACTAGTGTTGAGGGGCGTGCCGCTCGGCCGATGTGCAGGCCCCTCGCTGGAGGAGGTTACCGTGTGGTCGTGCGGCTCTTTTCTTACTCTTCTTCAATTCGAGCCAGCATTTGCCTCCGCTGCTGGGGTCTTACCAAGGATGTGGAGGCGCTGACGTGGATGTCAAGAAAAACCACCGTCGTCACCATCACAAACAACACCAGCACCAGCAACATGACCACCACCGCCATCGCCCGCTTCACCAGCATCATCGTAAGCACCACCACCGCCCGCATCGCCGTCGCTGAGCCAGCCGGTCGTCTCGCGGCGCCGCCTCGCTCCGCCGCCGCACTCGGTGCACATGCAGCGCATCGTGTTCGACCACGTGCTGCCGTGCTGCACGCCCGAGGCGCCGCTGGTCTCGGCGGCGCGCAGAGGAGGGGGGCAAGGAGGGAGAAACATGAGGAGGAGGGAGAAAGGGGAGGAGGAGGAGGAGGAGGAGGAGGAGGAGGAGGAGGAGCAAGGGGGGGAGCATGAGGAGGAGGAGGAGGGGAGGGTGAACGGAGCAGGAGGTGGAGGAGGAGCAGGAGGGGGGGGAGGAGGAGTAGGAGTTTGGAGGAGGAGCAGTAGGAGGAAGAGGGAGGGGGAGAGAAACGGAGGAGGGGAGGTAAAACAAGCGGAGGAGGGAGGAGGAGGAGGAGGAGGAGGAGGAGGAGGAGGAGGAGGAGGAGGAAAAGGAGGCAGAGGAGGAGGAGGAGGAGGAGGACCAGTGTAGATCCAACATGCATCAACGATGCTGCAATAAGCCTTCCTCAAAATTTCATTCTCGCCCCTGCAACACCTCACTGCGGAAAGTGCTTGCTTGGAAAACAGCCGTCTGAGAACCCCCAATCGTGCCAAAACACCGTTCCTGGGACTTCAACGCCGAGAATCAACTTGACTGTTGCGTCTTGGCAATCCTCAGTCGTGCCAGAACGCCATTCCTGGGACATCAGCACCATGAGTCAACGAGAGTGTTGCGTCCTGGCACGCCAGAATGCCATTTCTGGGGCTTTCAAGCATACGACTTTTTGAAGCTGCTCTAATTGCGCGCGGCGCTCCATCCGTGAAATTGCTGCAACCAGGTATTCATTCGCTTCGCTCACTCCGCTGGCCCATGTTGCATGATCTTCACTGTCTCGTCGTGGGCTCGGGGCCATTGTGGCGCCGCCGAGGAGGAAGAGGAGGACGATGTGGATGGGGAAGGGGAGGGAAGGAGGGGGAGTGGATGAAAAGGAGTGGAGGAGGATGACGATGAGTAGGAGGAGGAGGAGGAGGAGGAGGAGGAGGAGGAGGAGGAGGAGGAGGAGGAGGAGGAGGTGTCGGAGGAGGAGGAGGAGGAAGGGGATGGGGCGGAGGGGGAAGCCTCTCGTTGGCATCTTGTGCTGCTCTTGGGGCCAAACAGGGTCGTCGTCAAGATGCTTCTTTGGGAGGCCTCTTGGAGTCTTTTGAGAAGCCGTTCGGCGGCGCCTGTGAGGCATTTGAACTTGTGGGGCCTCTTGGGGCCTCTTTTGGGCCTCCTGGGGGCCTCCTGGGGCCTCCTGGGGCCTCTTGGGGGCCTCTTAGGGGCCTCTCGGGGCCTCCTGGGGCCCTCTTGGGGCGGAAGGCTCGAGTTTTCGGTTCGTGGTCCCCCTCTTGGGCCACTCTTGGGGCCGTCTTGGGGCCGTCTTGGGCCGTCTTGGGCGCCTCTTGGGCCGTCTCGGGGCCCTCTTGGGGCCCTCTTGGAAGCCTCTTGGAAGCCTCTTGGCCCGTATTGGGGTGCTCTTGGGGGCCTCCTGGGCCGTCTTGGAGCATCGGATGGCCGAAAAGGCGACAAGGCCCGAATCCTTCCAAAACCATCGTAAAATTTATGATTTGGGCCTGTCGGGCCCTCCTGTGAGGCCTCTTGGAGGTCACTTGGAGGCCTCTTGGGCCGTCTTGGGGTCATCATCGGCGTCTTGGGGCGCTCTTTGGGCGTCTCGGGTGCCTCTTGAACCGTCTGGGGGACCTCTTGGGGCCCTCTTGGACCGATTTGGAGCCCTCTGGGGCTCCGAAAAAGAGTTCCGGCATCCTTGAACAGGACGTGCCGGGAGTCTGCCGGGGTGCTTTTCGTCCAGGGACCCCCAGGGCCCGCCCCGCGCGCACGAACTAGAAAGAATGTTTACCAGCTACCGGAGATCTTAGCACGCCTCTGGCCCGTTGGGCCGGCGAATTACGGTTGTGCGCGGCGCTAGGGCGACAGCCACTTTGTGAAAGCGACCATTCCATTCATGAAATTATTGCAATTTTGAATGACGAGTATGCGCGGCGCTAAAGCGAGAGCGAGATGTGAAGACCACTCGCCTTTCTGCCGTGAAGTCCGTTGCACATTTCAAGCTTCAGGATCGTCAATGGTGAGGAAATTTTAGGCGAAATGCCTGGCCCGCTCTACCGACGACACGCCTGGGGGGGCGGGTGACAGGAAGGAGTTCCTTCTCAGGAACAAGATGGAGTAGGAGTAGGAGGAAGATGAGGCAGCGGAGGAGGAATTGAGGAGGGGATAAGGTAAGAAAGACACTTGGAAAGGTCGGAAGGTGAACAACAACGACAGGCAAGCTCACAATAAGTGATGCCTTTGATTGTGCTTCCCTGGCCTTGGCTTATTCAACGAGGGCAGACATTATCTGCCCATATTGCGGGGCTACATCATTGGACGAAAACCATCGGGGAGCCGACGACACCCTTTGGACTTCCCTGGGGTCCGCAAGGGCGGCTTCAAGTCGCAAAACTGTCGCAGCCTTGTCAATCAGCTCGCGCAGCCGAGGCTTCGGCCCGAGCCCACGACGAACAAGCACTCAGAGCTCGCGCGTCCCTTGGGAGACGGATCTGGACAGGACCTGCCGAGCTTGATCGTCCGCCCCTGAGTCCAGCCACCACATTGAAGACAGGGGATCTCTTGCGAGCGAGCCTCGGTACGTCCCGAAACCCCGGCGGGCCCAGAAGGAGAGCCGCTGACTGTTGACAGAGCCGTTCCCGCCACGGCGACGAGGGAGCGACCCACGGGATTGTCGAGCAATCTGGCCAGCGCAGGAGGTGTGCCTCGACACCCGACAGTTGGTCGATCATTGGTGGTATTTTCAATCAGGCAATGGACACTGCAGACCAAGTTCGGCGTGTCGGCACGATGCCAACTCAGCTTCGCACGAGATCTCTGCTGGGCCGTGAGATGTGAGCTCTGGGCCGAAAGAGGGGAAGGGTGGCACTGGCTGGCTTGACAAACACTTGCCGCTTTAACCTCTGCCCGATCAACTGCCTGTGGAAAGCTGGGGCGAGGAGCAGGGTAAGACGCCAGAACGAGTTTAGCATGGTTCTCTACAATGTTATTGGCCTGACCAAACCGATCTAACTCTTCATCCGACCTATCAGCCTTAACCCGACAGTGCTCCTCAAAACTTCGAATCGTCCACTTCGAACGCAAACGTACGCGTGCCTGATCACCTGTTCTGGCACAAGAGCTGCTTCGAAGCAGGACGCTGCATATACCCGGTAACTCGAGCTTGTTGGCCTATCATCAGTATGATCGCGTACCTTTGAGGCTAGATTCTCCGTTGTGGTTGGCTCTGGGGGATTGACCCTGGAGCAATTCCCCTGAGCACAGCCCAACTGTCGGCAGAAGAGGGAGCAAGCATGCTTGTCCTTGGCATCGATCGGACGTGCGCATTTTTCTCGGCGAGGGCCTTCGAGGAACGGAGATCATCAAACGAACAACTAAACGCGCGTCATCGAAACATACACGGGGAATGGATGTCCGAGCGATGGCGAGTGTCGCCCACGATGCACGGCGGAGGTGTCGCAGCGCTTGCTTGGGTGCCGAGCCGTCGGTCGCCAGCTCGAGGGGGGCGTGGGGCATCAAAACCCCGCATGTGGAGGAAAGGGAGGGAGGCATAAGCTCTGAATACTCGTCGAAGGCCCTTTTCTGATGCAGGACGACATCACGATCCATGGCAGCCTGCAGGGTCGCCTCAGGAATATTCTTGGACGCCTCATCCCTCGCAACAGCAGCATCCTGACCGGTGCAGGTGTAAACGCGATGATGATGCAGGGTATCAATTTGCCCACATTCGTAACGCTTAGGCGTGGGATACCCTGTTTTATCGCACGATCTTTTGTCCAATTCGCATCACAAGTTGCGCACCTAAGCAAGAACTGCTGCTGCCTATTGAAACTTTTCACCCCTGGAACCAAGCGGTCGCTAATCAGATCCAGGCTGGCCCGATATCCATCATGACAACATAGCTTTTTAGCAAACGCCACTTCGGCCTGCCTCTGGGTTCCGCGTTCCATCAACTCCTGAAGCATGCGGTGAGACAGCAAACGTATGTCATATCGATGATGCTTGTGACCGGTCCAAGAGCAAGCCTCAGGAGTTGACTACCCCGCCCTCCTAACACACAGCACAACCCTGCTGAGCGGACCACGGCTTGCCTTCCAGTCCGCAGTTTTGTTCGCATTGGCCTGGCCCCATCAGCACAGGAGGGCAGGGTGACGTAACAGAGCTCCCTGGGGCTCTTCTCTGGAGATCCACAACATCCATTTCCAGGGCAGCACATGTCCCATGGCAGCACGCACATCCCGTTCTCCAAAGAGGACGACCTTGGCACTTGCCAAACTGCCGCCAGGCATTGGGGCCTGCCCTCTCGCCTGGGTCCCACGCGCTGCAGCAGGCTCAGCCTCAGAAAACCCTCAGAGCTTCAGAACTGTACGACGACGCAGGAGCAATGCCAGGACGCAGAGCCCCATTGGAAGACTTTCTGGGAACTTCTTGCGAATTACCTCGCTAAACCTGCGGCATGGAGGAGGCGTGTCGGACGATGAGGATGTCCTCCTCAGTCTTTCTCCCTCATCCTCCCTCCCCTCTTCCTCTCCCTCCCTCCTCCCTCATCCCTCCTCATCCTCCCTCCCCTCTCCCCCTCCCTCCTGGTGCCGCCGACCCGCAAGGCGGGAATTCCCCAGGGACCCCCGCGGGCGACCCCTCCCCGGTGGGCCTGGACCCGCCGAGATCATGGGAGTGCAGTAGTCCCCCCCGCCCCCCCAGGCAGAGAGGGGACAACGAAAGGGGTTGCCCGTCGACTTAACTACGACGACCCTTTGCTCTGTGCCCCTCAGTTTCCCTCTGGACTGACGACGACGACAGCCTCCTCAACACGCCGAAGGGTCAGTGGATTGCCCTGCCTTCTCCCTTCATTCCCTGCAGAAGTTGCCCCGCCATCTCCGCATCTCGTCTTTCACACAGGATTTGATTGATTTGTATTTCCTATGTTTGTCTCGGGTCGGACCGGTCTCTGTGTTGCAATATGGTGCTCCCGCTGCAGGTTTGGCCTCATTTTCGGATCGGCGCGCTCACGTCGGTCAGAATTGCGCTCTTGCCCCGGCGCGGACCACGTCTTTGGATCCGAGTCTTTTCTCATTATTGTCGCCCTCCTCCTTTCCCCACCTTCGACTTCACCTGGTCCTACTGCTCCTCCCGCTCCTTCCGCTCCAGCTCCTGCTGCTGCTGCTGTTGCTGCTGCTGTTCGTCCAGGTATGTTTCTTTTCTGATCCTCCTTTCCTTCCTGCTCATCAGCTATCTCCTCATCGCAGAGCATGATGTGGCCCTTCTTGGAGTTCCAGGTCCGCCATGACATGCGTCGACGGATGGATGACAAATCAGTCAACGCAATGGAAATGGACGGGGGGTAGGGCGTCCGATGTATTGGCGTCGTTCGGACGTGTGCATCTTTTCGGCGAGGACCACCGAGGAGGCTTTTGGGTCATCTTATGAGAAAATGAACATGCGATGCCGAAACATGCACGGGGAATGGACGTCTGAGCGATGGCGAGATGTGGCGCGAGCGCACCTAGCGCTTCCCGCTTCCCTCCCCTCTTGCCTTTCCCCCCCCTGGTCGCTCGGATCCCCTCGTGGAAAATGCCAGCGCCCGCCCCCATCCCTCCTCTCTCTCCCCTCCCTCCCCCCCCCCCCTCCTCCCTCCCCCTCCCCCCCTTCCCTCCCCTCCCTCTCCCCCCCCCTTCCCTCCCCCCTCCCCTCCCCCCCTCCCTCCCTCCCTCCCCTCCATCATCCCTCCCCCCCCCTTCCATCCGTCCACCTCCTCCCTTCCCTCCCCTCCCTCTCCCCCCCCCCCTCTGGTCTTGCGGCTCCCGTCGTGCAAGACCAAAAGATGCCCGCGCCCGCCCCCTTCCAGGCCGCCGAGTCCGTCGTGCCCGTCGCGCAGCTCGGCCAGGACCCGCGCCGGAGGGCGGCGGTCGGAGCGCGCTTCTGGCGTTTCGCAGTGGTCCAGGCTTTAAGTCGGGCCTGTCCCTCTACAGGAGGAATATGCAAGAATAGTCACAAATATACTCTGGGGGCGTTTTTTTGTGGCATTATTATTTACCATTTTTTATGTGTTTTGGATATGTTTGATGTTTCGTCCCAAATCCCCCTGTAGGAAGGACATGCCCCGCCTAAGTCTCGGCCTCCCGAATGGGGTACGAGCAGATGGGGTCGGAGGATTGCGCCGCATCGCCGACGCATCGCCGATGCGGCTCGATGTGGGGCCCGATTTTAGTCCACGCCAGCTGTGCCGACGCACCGCCAGCGTCGACGATGCATCGGCGATGCATCGGCGATGCGGCGCGATCCTTCGGCCCCATCTACTCGGACCCCATGTGGGAGGCCTCTAGGTGGTGGGGGTGCCTCGCATCGAGTGTTGCAGGAAACTTGGCATCGCTCGGACGTGAGAATTTCGAGGAGCATCATGGACGATCTTGCGGAACAGAAACGCCCGATACCAAAGCGTGCACGGGGAATGACCGTCCGAACGATTGCAAGAAAGGGGTTTCTTCTACAGGGGCCCGACAAGGGCCCCACCCAGAAGTGGCGCGGGGTGGCCACTACCCCGCGGGGTAATTACAAACAAGTACGGGTAGCTCAACGAATTGCTCCTCCCCCTCGTCTGTCCTGCTCTTTTTCCTCCCCCCTCCCCCCCTCTCTCCTCCTCTCAGGGGTCTCCCTTCCCCCTCCCCCCTTCCATGACCCCTTCTCCTTCCCTTCCCCATCCATTCCTTCCTCGGCTCCTCTTCCTTTCGCCTTCTCCTATTTCTTCCCTTCCTCCTTCGATGGCGGATTCACCTAGTTTTTGTTTGTCGTTTGTTCTCGAGCTGACACCGTTGCCGCAGCGTGCTCTCGCCTTCCCCATCCTCCTTTCAACATGTTCTCCTTCTCCCTTCCTCCTCCTTCTCTTCCTTTCCCTGCCCCCTTCCCTAGGTCGAGTTCGGCGACGTTTCTATACATGTTGCCCCTAGTTGTCAGGCCAAGTTTGCAGTGTCCCACAGCGAAATTCCATCCCCTTCTTCCTCCCTCCAACCCTTCTTCCTCCTCTTCCTTCCTCTCTTCATCTTCATTCCTCCTTCCCCTCCTCTGTCCCTTCCTCCTTCCGACTGTGGCCTGTCAACCCACTTCTTTATTAGCTTGTCGATATTCTCGACCTGGCATCGTTGCTGCGCTGTGCTCTCTTTTCTCCTCCTTTTCGAAGTGACCCTCACCTTCCACTTCTCTGTCCCTCCTTCCCCTCCCCCTCGCTCTCTCCCTTCTCCGCTTCCTTCTCCTTCACTGGTTCGAGTCTGGCGAGGGCTTCGAGAGCCTGCCCTCCACAACGTTGCCTGCTGATCAGTTCCTCCGGGAGCCTAGCCTCCGTCCCTTCCCCTCCTCCCTTCCACTTCCCCCTCCCATGGAATCCCACTCGTGCCCTTTCCCTCCTCGCCCTTCCCCCTCTGCCCTCCCCCCTCTCCCTCCTCTTCACCTCCTTCCCCTGCCCTTCTCCTCCACTTCTCCTTCCCTGGGCCCCTCCCCCTCCCCCACCCCTCAAGGAGTCGCTGGCCCTCCTCGCGTGGCTGCGCGGCCCAGCCTCGCAGCTGGACTCGCTGCGCCCCGCCGCGCCGGGGGCCAGCATCGACGTGTACGCGAAGCCCGGCGCCGACCCGGGTGGCCCTGGGGGGCAAAGGAGGAAGAGGAGGAGGAGGGAGGAGGGAGGAGGAGGAGGAGGAGGAGGAGGAGGAGGAGGAGGAGGAGGAGGAGGAGGAGGAGGACGATATCGAGGAGGAGGATGAGGCTTCGGGGAAGAGGCGCCACCATCGGAGGTCCGCGCGTCCCGTGCCGATCCAAGAGATCCGCGCGGACCTCCAACAGTTCGTGCGGTTATGTATTCTTCTCTTGGTTCCACCTCCTGATCCCCAGACATGCTCGCGTCGCAAAGAAGTCAGGACGCGCGTGCTCTTTGTTGCCGTTCTCGGTTTCCAGGGGCCCTTGCCCGGCCCCAGGACCGTCAGAGGGCGACTCGGGAAGAAGAGCTGGCCCTGCGGAAGGGGTCGGGATTGCTGGGGATTGCTGGGACGTCCTCAGAGGAAGAGAGCCTGCTCCTCCATCCTCTCCCTGCTGTGCATGATCGAGCTTCGACAATCTCCTGCCCTGCCCCTCCGCATCCGCTTTCCTCAGAGGCAAGTCAGCTATGCAGTCAATCTTCTACTCGACTGCTCCTGCTCCACCTGCTCGAGTCTACGTACAATACATGGGTGCTCAGTAGATCTACAACCATTCTGCGTATTTACGTGCATTCCCAAACAAAGCAATGTTGAGGTACATCAGTTTTGTAGTCAATCCTCTACTCGAGTAGTCGCGGAAGCGCAAGCATGGCTAAGGTTCGTGGATCTGCGACGGTTCCCGATTCCATACGAAGTCGGCGCGCGCTGTCTCAGAATGAGGCGGCATTGGCCTCATGTGTCGGGGGTACCTTTCCCGATCTACGGATGTGGCGCCCACGTACCAGATCTACGGATCACCAATCCATGCCACTGTGCGCCCGATATAGGTCTGGCGTTCCCAGAGATCCGAGGTTCCGACATATCGCGGCGGCCGGATGTTTGAGTTGGGACTTGGAGAATTATGGTAGGAACCATCTCAAAAAGTGGTTGGGCTCCGAAGATGCGGGCCCTGACGATGGGGGCCATGAGGTTTGGGCCTCCCAGATGGGGTCCGAGTAGATGGGGTTGGAGGATTGCGCCGCATCGCCGATGCCTCGCCGAAGCCTCGCCGATACATCGGCGATGCGGCTCGAGTTGGAGCCCGATCTTATCCCTGCGGTCGTCGCCGCTGCATCGCCGACGTCGTCAATGCATCGCAGGTGCACCGACGATGCATCAACGGCCATGCGGCGAGATCGACTCCATCTACTCCGACCCCATCTGGGAGGGCCTCTAGATTGGCAGGGGGCTGGGGATGAAGATGCTGGGGGGAGCCATCTCAAGCCTGCTCGTCGCCGAAGATGTCGGGTGTTGCTGGAAGTGACCCTGGCCCAAGGTGCCCCCAGCCTCTCGCTCCATTGTGGAGCCCCTGGGGCCCTTTGGGCCTCGTGCGGGGTGCTCTGGAGGCCGTCTGGGCCACCCCGAGAATCCTAGGCTACCACGCGCGGATTCTTTGGCTCCGCGCTGGGCCTCTCTGGCGCCGCCTCTGGCGCCGCCCCTGGCGCGCTCCGCGCGAAGCGCAAACAGTTTATGTTTATAGCGTTTTGGTTATTCTTCGATAGCAGTGCCCCTGGCCCAAGGTGCCCCCAGGATTCTCGGGGTGGCCCAGACGGCCTCCAGAGCACCCCTCTCGAGGCCCAAAGGGCCCTAGGGGCTCCAAAATGGAGCCAGAGGCTGGGGGCACCTTGGGCCAGGGCCACTTCTAGCAGCACCCGAAGATGGGATCTCCTCCTCCTCCTCCTCCCCCTCCTCCTCCCCCCTCCTCCTCCTGCTCCTGCTCCTCCTCCTCCTCCTCCTCCTCCTCGTGGTCGGGCCCCGAGGAAGCGATCACGCGGCGGAGCCCTCCGTGCCAGAGGCCGCTGGCCCTCCGGGCCTCGCCCCTCGGGGCCCCAGCGGGGCCGCCAGGGAAGGGCCCTTGGCACCGCTCGGGCGCGTGCGGGTGTCGCGGCGAGAGCCGACCCTGCGAAATGCTTAAGAAATCATGGGTTAAGAAATTCATAGTCTCAGAATTTGAATACAAACCCAGAAATTCTATCAAAATCTTGGGATTTACACTGAAACGCTAAGAATAATCGAGACTCTGGCCGAAAACTTGGGTTTTCTTAAGCATCGCCTGGAGTGTAGGAGGGTCGGAGGGAGGAGGGCTGGCTATGTATATGGTTGCGGGATGTCGGACCCTGGGGGAGGCTCCCGTTCGAGCGGGGACCTCCATCCGACATCACGCACCCATAGCCCCTTCGGTCCCCCCCACGGGCATGGGTGCGTTTTGCTCGTTCGTCAAGGACAACCGAGGACCATCCTCGACGATCCTTAGGTCGGGCGTGTCCCTCCAGAGGAGGAGTGCTCAGAAATAATCCAAAAATAGTCAGGGCACGATTTTTCGATCATTTGACCATTTTGGGCGTGTTTTTTGACGTGTTGTTCTTGTGTCGCCCAGAACCCCCCTGTAGGGGGACAGGCCCGACTCAATCATGCCTGTGTCGCGGCGAGGACCACCGAGGACCATCCTCGACGATCCTGCGGAAAAGCAGGCGCGGGGAAATGCACGGGGCATGGCCGAAAAGAACATGCACGGGGGACGGACGTCCGAGCGATGGCGAGGGCCGCGACGCAGGGAGGCGACCTGGGCTCGTTGGGGCAGTGCCGCTGCCGGGGCTGGCGCGTTGGCCGGTCCGGTTCCCTTTTCGCCACTGAGCGCCGAATCCCCTCCTCGTGGAGTTCTCGAGCTCGTTCGCCTCCTCGTGGAGCTTGGCTTCGGCGACGGCGGCGATGCGGATGTTGGGAACGGCATTGTGGCTGCTGAGACGATGACTATGGCAATGGCGATGGTGCTGTTGAGGATGCTGATGTTGGAATCGTTCACGATGACGAGAACGGCGACGACGGGGGCAACGATGATGATGATGACGGTGATGAACATTATGACGATGGTGATTGTGATGACGAAGACGACGATGTGATTGACGATGATGTTGTTTATGACGATGGTAGTGACGATGACAATGTCGACGAATGATTGCGATGATCATTGCGATGGCATGATCGATGAATGAGCACGATGCTGACGATTGATTTCCATGATCGCAAGGATATCAACGGTATAGATGATGTTGATGAAGATGATGACGATGATGATGACGACGGAGACCTGGCTTCGTCTCGCCCGCGGCTTCCCTCGAGCAACCCAGCGCCCGCGCGCGCCTGCCCCGAGGGAAGGAGTTTTGCATGCTCACCGCCTTGGGAACCGATCGTCCTACCTCGGCTGCCCAGGATATGTTGGTGCGTGTTCGAAGTTTGTGAGCCCGTCAGGGGCGATGGTGATGATTATGACGAGGAGGAGGAGGAGGAGGAGGGTAGTGCTGATGCTGCTGATGATGATGATGATGATGATGATGATGATGATGGTGGTGGTTGTGCTGGTGACGATGATGATGATGCTGATGCTGCTGATGATGATGACGCTGATGATGATGCTGATGCGGGCGATGGTGATGATGATGGCGACGATGATGATTGTACCGAGAAGTATGATGACGATAATGCTGATGATGCTGATGACGACAATGATGGCCGTGATGCTAGCGAAGACATGCGATGGTGATTCTGATGATGTAGCTGACGCCGATGCTGATGCTGGTGTTGCTGAGGATGACGGTTTTGATGGTGCTGGTGATGATGGTGGTGGTGCTGGTGAGTAGGACGACGATGATGGTGTTGATGTGGATGTTGATGCTGCTGCCGTTGATGTTGATGCTGCTGATGATGATGATGATGATGATGATGACGATGCTGATGATGACGATGCTGATGATGTTGATGATGCTGATGATGTTGATTACGGTTCTGAGGATGATGCTGGTGATGTTGAGATTGAAGACGATGATGCTGTTGATGCTGCGGATGATGACGTTGATGCTGATGATGATGCGGCTGATGATGATGCTTACGTTGATGATGTCAATGATGACGATGATGACGATGAGTAAGCTGAAGATGTGGAGGAGCGGGGGGAAGAGGAGAAGGAGGCGGAGGAGGAGGAGGGAGTGGAGGTGAAAGTGGAGGTGACGGAGGATGCGGAGGAGGAATGAGAACGCCTTCGCATGTGGCACCTATTGAGGAGGACAGTCTAGGGGCCACGTTTGAGCATCTTGGGGGCAGTTTGGGGGGTTCTTGGGGGCCTCGTCTAGGCCTTCGTGGGCCGCTTGGGGGTCTCGTGTGGTGGACGGCTCGGATTCTCGGTTCGTTCCAATTCTTGGGGCCGTTCAGACCCCTGCTCTTCCCCATCGTTCCTTGTTTTTGGACCCTGACGAGTTCGCTTCGACCCCCCCTCTCGCCGAGACCCGCGCCTGCGCATCGTTGCGTCTACCTGTCGGCTATCCGCCATGCTCCTGTCGTTGCGGCACTTGGGGCTGTCTTTGGGCCGTCTTGAGCCGTCTTCGGCGCTCTTGGCTGCCTTGGAGCCCTCGTGGGACGTCTTCGGGCCGTCTTTTGGGGCCTCTTCTTCCTTCTCGGGGCAGTTGTGGGGGCCTCTTGGGCCGCCTTGGGGCAACGGAAAGCTCGAACTGGGGAGAATCACACACATTGAAACACCTCGGATGCATGACTGATGTTTGCCTGTCGGGGCCCTCTTGAGGGCTTCTTGGGGGCATAGGGTGGGCCTCTTGGGGCCTCCTGGGGGGCTCTTGGGGCGGAGGGCTCGAACTCTCGATTCGTGCTCCTCCTCTTGGGCATTTCTTGGGGCCGTCTTGGGGCCGCCTTGGGCTCTTGTTGGGCAGTCTTAGGACCCTCGTCCTCGTTGGCCGTCTTGGAGCGAGCCGTCTCGGGGCAGTCTTGCCTGGGGGCCTCTGGGGCTGCCTTGGAGCGTCGGCAGCTCGAACAGGCGAGCACCCCAAACCATTGAACAACCAACGGGCAATCACTAAGATGTGCCACTCGAAGCCCTCTTGGGGTCCTTTTGGGGGCATCTGTTGGTCCTCTGAGGACCTTCTGGGGGCCTCTTGGGGCGGAAGGTTCGAATTGTCGGTTCGTGTTTCTTGGGGCCATTTTGAGGACCTCATGGGCAGTCTTGGGCGTTTTTTGGGGCCGTCTTGGGGCTCTCTTGGGGACCTCTTCGGCCGTCTTGGGGCCATCTTAATGGCCTCCTGGGCCGTCTTGGGACGTCGGGAGCTCGAAAAGGCGAGAACCCCCACAACACTGAAACACGTACGGACAATTACTGCTGTTTTCCTCTCGGGGTTCTCTAGGGGTAAGGCTCTTTATTAGGGGCTCCCCTGGAACGTCTCGAAGGCCTCTTGGGCTGTCTGTAGGGCATCTTGGGCCAGCATGCTGCCAAAGTCGGACCACACGGGAGCTACACTGGCCCGTCTTGGAGGCATTTTGGCCTCGGGACCGCGAACTTGTAGTATTTTGCGAGTTGTGGCCTCGGGATGCAGGCCCAGCGTGACGAGAGTGGCGGGGTTGCACCCTAGAAGATGGCAGTCGGACCGCATCACAAGAAACACCTTATGTTTCATCAGGGTGCCCTGGGTTTCTTTGACTTGCGTTTGGCGTGGACGGTTGTAGCAATTTCTAAGAAATCGCAAATGACAGGGCACCCTTGGTTTCTCGGGCGTCGGTGCGTTGGACTTCTTGAAATCAAAATACACTACGGAGCCGATCCAGAATCCTCTCCGGCAAACGCGCCAGGTGGCACGGTGACGCTTGTCGCTCGGTTGCAATTCTTGAGGTGATAAGTTCAGCATCGGTGCTAGTATATCCTCTGTCGGAAACCGTCCAACTCCAGTCTAACCCCGCTCATTCCGGCTCGTTCCCGCGTAAACCAGACCAGCGTGGCTTGATTTGGCTCAATCCTTGGCTTAATCCTTGTCTTAGTGGCCCCCTGATCTGGCCTCGTAGCCCGTCGACAGCTCCCACGAGGGCCTCCCCGGAATGGTCTCGACTCCTGAGGGGTGTATCCGTACCTAGAGGCCTCCTGGATGGGCTCCGAGTAGATGGGGTCGGAGGATCTCGCCGCATCGCCGATACATCGGCGATGTATCGCCGATGTATCGGCGATTCATCGGCGATGCACTGGCGAGAATCGGCGATGCATCGGCGACGTCGGCGTCGACAAAAGTGGGCCCCACATTGCGCCGCATCGGCGATGCATCGCCGAGGCATCTGCGATGCGGCACGATCCTCCGACCCCATCTAGGAGGCCTCGGTTATCCACCGCAATTCTGCAGGACACCACTTCCTGTGAGGAGGACACCACTTCCGACGGAGCGGGCACGCATCTGGTCCACGCGCCCGCTCCGTCGGATCTGCAGCGACGGTCGCGCGGGCATGCGCCGCCGTAGGTACTCACCGGCGTCACCCTGACATACTAATGCGATATGTGCGTCGCCCTCCTGGGGGCGACGCGCGCACCGAGAAATCTTACAGTATATGCGTCGTGGTTGGCGCTTTCTGGCCACACCGCTCTGGAAACGATATACTGCAAGATGGGTACACTAGATGTTCGGTTCGGACGCGCGCCTCATCCATTGGTCCATGGTAGCTCGGCCCCGCCATCCCGCCACCCCGGTTGAGGATATGTCCCCCTCGAAACCCAAAAGGAGCAGCCTACATCCCCATTTGGGGGGGTAAACCGGCCAGTGGTGCCCAGGCCCTGCCAGTGGGGATAGGGATCGGTCAAACGATGCTCAAGTACGACGTGAATCCGACGTACATCCGACGTGAACTCGACGTAACAGACTTTGGATCCGACGTGAGTTGGGTTTCAAGTCGCCGCGCGAGGCCTCCAGGATTTTCGTCGTAACGCTTCCCCATGCGGTAGATATGTAGAAGGCCCGGCTTCACAGCGTAGCATTGGCCACCCCACCCCCCCCCGCGGCCGCGGTGGCAGGCGGCGGCAGCGGCTCCGCCGGGAAGGCCAGGCGGCTCGAAGCGGCTTGCAGGGAGGGAGGGGGGGGTGGGGTCGGTGCGGTATGGTCGAGATGAGTACAGCCCTCCCCCCTGACGTGGACTACCCACCCAACGTAACCCAGACGTCGGTGACACCGAACCCGGCCCCTAACTCTCATAACATAGTGAAGACAATACAATCAGAAAGGAACCCCTAACCCTGATAACACAGTGAAGACGTAGCCTCACTTATGCCCCCGTCTTTGCATGAGGGATCATCAATATGGGTGGTATGGCTCGGTACATCTTCAGAAACGGCCCCCTATGCCTAGTGGTGTGTTGTCCCCTTCTATCTTAGGTCCTCTCACAAATGGCTCATAGGCCGTCCAACGGGGTGGTTAGGTTCTGTCTTCCCTCGCAACGACATGAAAAGGGTCCTGCGGGAAATCGGTTCTGGAGACTTGAGGGCCGGTTTCTACCTGCTGTGCCCTTCCACAGGCTCCAGGTCCATCGACGTCAGAATGAGCTGGTCCTGGGGAAGGCCCCTGGATCCAGGACCCGTTTCCCACAGGACTCCGTCCCCTCTCCGTCGTCCTCGTTCTATCCCCACCTGCTCGTGTTCCTCCTCCGCCCTCTTCCTCCTCCTCTGCCATCGCACTCCTCCTCATCCTCCTCCTCATTCTCATAATTTTCGCTGTCGTTTCGCGGCGTGACCATCCAACTTCCCATCCAATGATCTCGTTCCGCGCTTCTGCTCTGCTTATTATTCTTATTATTATTTTTATTATTATTATTACTATTATTATTATTATTCGTATTATTATCCTTGTTGTTCGCTTCGCTCATTTCGCCGCCCCACATTGTATCACTGGTGCTACATGTTGGTATGCTTGTGGCGAGCGAGACGGGCGAGGAGGAGGAGAGGGAGGACGAGGAAGAAGAGGGGAGGACGAGGATGAGGCCTCTCCACGGCTTCTTCTTGGGGCATTCTTAGGGCCAAATTTGGTCGTGGACAAGACGCCTCAATGAGAGGTTTCTTAGTCTCTCTTCGGAGGCCCCTCGGCGGTGTTTTTTGAATCTCCTGGGTTCTCTTGGGAGCCCATTTGGGCCTTCGGGGGGGTTACCGCCTCCATAGCCCTCTTGGGGGTCTCTTGGGGTCCTGCCGGCGGTCTCGTGGGACATTTTTCGGGGAAAGGTTCGACATGTAAGTTCGGATTCCCCCTCTTGAGGACCTCTTGGGAGGCCTCTCGGGCCGTCTTGGGGCCCTCTTGGGCTGTCTGTACTGGGAGCCTCTTGATCTGACCTGAGGCAATATGTTGGACCTCTTGGGCCATCTTGGGCGGTTGGAAGCCCTAGAAGGCGGTGGCGCCCAAATTCTTTCAATACCGACGGGAGATCAATGTCAGTTAACCTCAGGGGGCCCTCGAAGGCCTGTCTGGGACCATTTTGGGGCTATCTTGACGCCTCTTAGGATTTCCTCGCGTTGTTATTATTATTATTATTAGTATTACTATTTGTAGTAGTATTATTATTATTCGTATTATTATTCTTAGTTTTATTATGATTATGATTATTATTATTGTTATTATTATTGTTATTCGTATTATTATTGTTATTAGTTTTATTATTATTATTAGTATTATGATTATTAGTATTATTATTATAATTATTATTATTATTGTTTTTGTTCTTCATCTTATCCCTCCTCCTCCTCCTCCTCCTCCTCTTTCTCCTCATCCTCCTCCTCATCCTCTCTTTTCATCCTCTTTTGCTCTCATACTCCTGCTCCCTCCTGCTGCTTCCTCCTCCGCCCACTTCCTCGCTGCCCTTTCGCTTGTCTGCCACCCCGTCGTTCGCTCACCTCCGCCGCCCGCTTCCTCCGCCCACTTCCTCCTCTGGCCCTCTTGAGGCCTCTGCCCACCTCGTCCGCCCACGTCCCCGCCCGCTGCCCCCCCCCCCGGTTTAGACTCGGGGGGGACGCATCGACCCCGAATCGTCCGTTCGTCGCCGACGCGGCCCAGCATGGACCCAGCGGTGAGCACCCCCCAGGGGGCGGCGTCGCCTGGTCCTCCAGCCGCCCCTGGGGGGGGAAGGGGGAAGGGATGGCCACGACACGGCGACGACGAGGGCTGCGGACACCGCCGCGGCTTCTGTGCCCCTTCCCAGGTCGAGGGCAACGTCATGGGGGGGGGGCATAGGCTCATGGGGAACTGCATCGATCCCTGATCGCCCATTCATGGCCGATAGAAGGGCCTGATAGCCCACCCCGCCCAGGACCGTGTGCATGTGCGGTCGGGGGCCTATGGCCGATCTACCGACGATGTACCGCAAATTCCAGCTCGATCTTTCCCCCTCGGAGCCGGCGAAGGGAAAGGAAGGGTCGGGGCTTCCTGAGCCACAGCTCGAAAGCGCCGCATTCGTCTTCTGGTTCTCCCCCTGCTCCGCATCCTCCGCAACTATACATTATGAATGCTACTCTCCTCCCTCCCATGACTCCATCTGGGAGATAGTCGTCCCTCTCCGCCTACTGTGTTTGCTGTGCACATGGTTTCGAACATTGTTTATCTTAGCTTGTGTGTGCAATCCGGACGTCGTCGGTCCTTTGAAGTGGTGTTCCCGCTGCAGCGTGGGCTCCACTTTAGGATCGGCGCTTTGCTCCTGTTGTTCAGGATGGCGCTCTCGCCGCGGCGCGGACCACTTCTCTAGATCCAAGTCCTTTTTTATCGTTGTCGCCCTCTTTCCACCCCTTGGTCCTCCTGCTCTTCCCGCGCTCCTTCCACGCCAGTTCCTGCTGCTGCTGTCCGCCCTCGTCCTCCCTCTTCCTTCTCATCCTCCTCCTCCTCCTCGTCCTCCTGCTCACCCGCCGCCTTCTCCTCGGATGTGCGCAGCTCACCTCCGGCTCTCTCCCGTCTCCCTCCTCCCTCTCCTTCCCCCTTTCCTCCCTCTCCTCCTGCTCCTCCTGCCCTCCCCATCTGCCGCTCATCCCTCCTGCCCTTCCTGCCCTTCCTCCGCCCCCTCAGGGACGCGGCGCCCCCCCTCAGTCGAGAGGCCGCGGCCGCGCCGGGCGAGGGCGGCGCCGCGGGCGCCGCGGGCGACGCGCAGGCCCAGGCGGCACCCGCGCGCCGCGACAGCGGCCACGTGGCGCCGGAGGTGCCGCAGGTGCCCGCGCACACGCAGTCCTGCGGCAGGACGCCGCCGCTGACGCTGGCGCTGCTGGTCTCGACAGCGACCACCACGAGCACGGCGATCGCAGCGAGCGCACCCATCACAGCGATCACAGCGACCACAATGACCACAACGATCGCGACGGTCACAGCCATCGCGACGGTCACAGCGATCGCAATGATCGCAATGCAGTGATCGCCCCTCATCGCAACGATCACAATGATCGCAACGATCTCAGCGGCAGCAATGATCATAAGGGCCACAACGATCACAGCGATCGCAACGGTCGCAACGACAGCGACTGTTGTTGCCGTTGTTGTCGGTGCCGTGTGCGGCGCGCACTCCACCCCTCCAGGGGGCGCTGCCCCAGGTGTGGAGGTCAGGAGAATTCAGCTGAAGGGGTGTGCAGAGGTTCGGGGCGGATCCAGACGTGTCGACGAGGGGTGCCCCTGGGGGAGCAAACAGTGCGAAGGATGCCCAGAAGCCTCGACGCTCCGGGGGGGTAGGCTCGGGGGGGACGCATCGACTGACCCCCAATCGCCCATTCGTCGCCGATGGGCCCAGCACGGACCCAGCGGTGAGCACCCCCCCAGGGGGCGGCGTCGCCTGGTCCTCCAGCCGCCCCTGGGGGGGGAAGGGGGAAGGGAGGGGCCTGGTCCTCCAGCCGCCCCTGGGGGGGGAAGGGGGAAGGGAGGGCGACGACACGGCGACGACGAGGGCTGCGGACACCGCCGCTGCTTCTGTGTCCCTTCCCAGGTCGGGGGCAGCGTCATGGGGGGGGGAGGAGCATAGGCTCATGGGAAACTGCATCGACACCTGGTCGCCCATTGATCACCGATAGAAGGGCCTGATAGCCAACCCCGCCCGGGAGACCGCCGCCTCCGCCGCTGTGTCTTCAAGCCCTGGGGCGCAGCGAGGGCTCCCAGGTACCCGAATTGAAATGTTCAGTGCGTTGGCGGTCTGGGCCCCAGGCCCAGACATCCAAGGTCTCGTCAAAATTTAGGGCCACCATTTTTAGTTGTTCGCCGCTTGCGGTATCTGGGGGTTTCTGCTGGGCCCTGGAAACGTCGCAAAGGGACTCGGGGTGAAACGCTGGCCCCAAGGAAAGAGTCAGGACTTCGGGGATCGCCGATGGACCTTTGGGCGTGTGGCCGATGGCATCAAGCCGATGGACCTTTGAGCCTTTGGCACCCCTCCCTTGCTGCTTGGCGACGACAGGGTCGGCCTGGCCCCAAGTCGCAGTGGGGGCCATCAGTCGGGCCTCCCTGCAGCCCCGGGGGCGGATCAGCGCGAAGAAGTGGCGGAGGAGGGTACGGAAAGGTCATTGGAGCTGGAGGAGTAGCCAGAATGCGAGAGGGTAACGGGAGGAGAGGGTCGCACGCACGCGTTGTCCTTATTTGCCAGACCTGTTTGAGAAGAACGCGTTGCGCTTGCGTGCAACCAGTGTGTCCGTAACTTGTAGACTCGGGAGTTCTCTTTTTGAGCACAGTTTGCACAGCAGAGGGGAGCTTGAGCCTTGCCTATGTCACCACTCCATGCGCGAGCCGAGGAAAAAAGTAGAAGCATTGGAGGTCGAGGGGAAGAGGGAAGGGAGAGGAGGGAAGGGAAGGGTCGGGGCTTCCGGGGACCCCGTACGAGAGTGTGTGTTTCAACCCTCTGGGCAACAACGCGCGTTACGACCCTCCCCTCCCAGCGTGTTATGCCCCTCCCCCTCCCCCCGCACAACGTAACGCCCCGCCACCCCCCCGTAGTGCGCCTCCAGCACTGCCTTCATGATGTTCGCGGGTTCCCGTGGTGCTTGCAGGCTATTTCTTAACGTTCGTTCGCTGGCGTGGCATTGACAGGGCCATTGCCCGTGCTCGCAGACATGGTGCTGCGCTCGCAGGGTTTGTCGCACACGCTGGGCGGCCTGGCTGTTTTTGCGCACTCGCGCGGGGTTTACTCGGTATTCTGGTGCTGGTAGGGCCGCGAGAGTTGTGGTAGTGGTATCGGTGGCAGAAGTAGTGGCCACATTCGTAGCAGTAGCAGTAATGTCCGGAGGAGGAGGAAAAGCAGGAGTAGGAGGAGTAGGAGGAGGAGCGAAGGGGGAGGGCGACGGGGTTTCGTCGTAATCGTCGTCGTGGTCCTCGTGTGGTCGTGGTGATCGTTGTCGTTTGTCGTAATCATTGTCGTCGTCGTTGTCGAACTCGTCGTGGTCGTCGTATTCGTCTTGGTCGTGTGATAGTCGTCGTCGGCGTGCAGTCGTCGTCGTGACCGTCGTTGTGTTAATCGTAGTCGTCATGGTCTTTGTTATCGTCGCGATCGTTGTTGTAGTCGTCGTTGTCGTGGTCGCGGTGCTCGCAAGTTGTTGGTATTCCGACAGAAGCCTAATGTTCTCAAAATTGTTCATTCGTATTGTGCTCGCTTGCAGGTACCATTGTTTCTGCAAGACCCCTCCCAGAACCCATGTCTACAAAAGCGTAATCAACGCAGGGGTTGTGGTGTACGCAACCCCTGTCGTGCACGCTGGCTATGCGGTGTGCGCAGGCGCTGCGGTGAACGCGGCTGTTGTGGTGTACGCAGGCGCCGTGGTGCACGCAAGCACCATGCTGCATGCGTGCAGCATGCATTGGGACAGGCAGTGCAGTAAAGATGTGAGACATATTTCGTATTACGTTTTGGCCCTGGAGGTGGTAGAGGCAGAGTATTGCAGCACTCGCTACTCTGCTAGCTAGATGCAGCACAGCGGCAGCAAACACCGGCATGTAATTTGAGTCGCAGGAGGGCGTGAAGGAACATGAACCATTATGGTGCATGTGTTCGCTGCGCAGTACATAGGCGATGTGGTGCATGCGGCTGCGGCGGTCCACACTGCGCTGCGCATTGCGGTGCATGATGTGGTGCGCACAGGCGCAGTGGTGTCGGAGCCACACGTCGGGGCGAGGGAGGGGGGGGGTCGTGACTTGATACCCACCCGCGCCCCTTCCCATAACACCCGTTATCGCCGCGAACTTCAGATATGTTCTCTATCGAAGCCGCCGCATTCGCCGCTCTCTGTTTCTCCTCCGCTCTCTCCCGTAGCTGGGGTCGGAGGTTTGCGCCGCATCGCCGATACATCGGCGATTTGGAGCCAGATTCTCTGCACGCCGACGTCGCCGATGCATCGACGACGTCGCCGATGCATCGTTGATGCGTCTGCACTGCATCGGCGGTGCATCGGCGATGCGGCACGATCGTCCGACCCCATCTCTCTTCTGACCTAAGATTTGTGGTACCTAGTTCCTGTCTGTTTTAAATGGGAGCTCGCGTCGGTGCCACCTGGCGGTGCCCCTGGCGGCGCGTCGGGGGAGACGACCCAGCTTCGATTGAAGAAATCTTCGCGGACCTCCATAGGCTCATATTTATTCGGAGGACAGATATGCGCCACCACCAACAGGGGCGCCACCTCCAGCGAGGAGGTCCAACCATCCCGAGCTGTGGATTGGGGATGTCTGGGGCGGCGAGGGGGTGCTTGGATCGGGGATGTCTGGATCGGTGATGTCTGTGGATCGGGGACGTCTGGGGTGGGATTGATTCTGCGCGTTGCCTATTTTTGCTAGCTTCCCCTGAACATTGGATTATTATACACACACTTATTTGTTGCATGCACGAGGCCTCGCAGGTCCCGACCCTTTCCCCGGGGCCGTTTTCTCATCCCGGGATGTTTTCTGGCGGCCCCAGGACCTTGCGAGCGCCCCCCACCCCTACCGTGACCGAAGACGGCGAACATTGCATGCTAGCTAGCACTCTTCGATACGTCGGAGGTCTGTGTTTCGAAGGTCCGCAGCTCCCCCTCCCTGGGCATGCTTAAACATGGACTCTGAATCGACAGTGAATTGAACATAAATTAGGATTGCGTGCCCGGCCCAGGCCCCGTGGACTTGTTGTCTTATCATACTTATGTTAATATTTGTCCTTGCTGTGGTCCATGCCGCGGCGTCCTCGTTCTGTGCTTTATGCCTTATCGCAGCACCTCGTTCCAATATATATATATATATTCATATATTGTAGTGGCCTTCGGCCAGTGCCGCCGATCCGGGTCGCTCGGGGTTATTCTCCAGACGCAGAAATTATGGGCGCACACTCAAACGCACACACACAGTCACACCACTTAACCTGCGCCGCAGACATGCGCACACAGCATCACCCACACACACATACTAGTTGGGAAACGCTCCTGTAGTACTAGTAGTAGTATAGTAGTAGTAGTAGTAGTAGTAGTAGTAGTAGCAGTAGTAGTAGTAGTAGTAGTAGTAGTAGTAGTGGTAGTAGTAGTAGTAGTAGTGGTTGTGGTAGTAGTGGTAGTAGTAGTAGAGGCCTCGTTCCGCGGCTTCTCTCGACTTCCCGCGGTCTCTCTCAAGTTTCGAGCACGCGGTGAGTTTCACGATATATGTGTGTGTATGTACGCGTGCATGCATGTATGCATGCATTGATCATGTGTGCCTGTGTGTAGGTACGTATGTATGTATGTATGCTTGTGCGCGTATGTATGTATTTAGTTTGTATGTATGTTTGTATGTGTGTATGATAATATGTGTGTATGTGTGTGAATGTAAGTATGTATGTCTGGAAGATTGTTTTTCTATGTATGCAAATGTGTTTAAATGTAGGTATGTATGCATGTGTGTATGGATGTGCGTTTGAAGAGCGAGGATGTTTCAAAGAAGAGGCACTCGGTGACGCGATCGTTGAGGGATAGGAGTGAGGTCGCAGAGGAGGAGGAGGAGAATGAGGAAGAGGCGATAACTTGAAGGAAAACGATGAGACGGAGGACATCCTGCCGGTGGCGCCCTGGGCGGTGCCGCGGAAGAAACCGGGGGCCTGCCGGAGGCAGTCTGGAGGCCTCTGGGGAGCTGTTTTGGGGCCTCTTGGAACCTCTTTTGGGCCTCTTGTGGGCTTCTTGGGGCCCCTTGGGGGTCTCTTGGGGCCTCCTGGGGGCCTCTTGGGGCGGAAAGCTCGGTTCTTTCGGTTCGTGGTCCCCCTCTTGGGCCCCTCTTGGGGCTCTCTTGGGGCCTTCTTGGGCTGTCCAGAGGCCCTCTTGGGCCGTCTTGGGGCCCTCTTGGGCCGTCTTGGGGCTCTCTTGGGCCGTGTTGGAAGCATCGTGGGCCGTCTTGGGACGGACTTGGGGGCCTCTTGGGCCGTCTTCGAGCGTCGGACGCCCGAAAAGGCAAGAACGCTAAAAACCCTGAGAAAACCAATGAAAATCAACGATTCTGGCCTCTTGGGGCCCTCTTGGGAGGCCTCTTGGAAGCTTCTTGGGGCGTCTTGGAGACACCTTGGGCCGTCTGGAGGCCATCTCGGGCGTCTTGGAGCGATTTTTCGGCGACTCGGGGCCCTCTTGGAACCCCTTGGGGGTCTCTTGGGCCCCCCCCCTCCTCCAAAGCGCCGGAAAAAGCGGAGCATGGCGCCCCCCCCCCCCCTATCTTCCACTCCCCCGGAGCGGCCCCGGGGTTCGCCGGAAACTCGCACCCCCCCCCCCCCCCCCACCCCCCCTTCCCCGGCAGAGCCACCCCGGCGACCCCCCCAGAGGCTGAAGCTCAGCCTCGAGGCTGTAGCTGAGACTCCTTGAAACTCACACGCCGGATCGGCGGATATATATATGCGATATCCCAGCATCTAGAAGTTCAACTTATATGTGCGTGTTTTGGTGTTGCACGCTTCCTGTGAGCTCACAGTTCCTGCTTCGATATGTTTCATTTCCTGTTTAACCCCTTGGGCGGCCAGGGAGGGACGCGCGCTCGCCAGGGCCGCCGCCGGCGACGCGCACGCGCCACGGGGGCAGGACGACGAGGAGGGCGAAGGCTCCGCCCCTGCCGCGGCCGCCGGCCGCTGCTGTCCGCCTCCGCCGCCTCCGCGACGGTCGAGGTTTCGGGTTCGAGGGGAGCTGAGAGGGGCCAATTCCTGGATTCCCTTCTGTTTTCCCATCCCCCCGCCAAGGAACAGGTTGTTGCGCGTGGTGCCGCTTTTCCCTTCCAGATAAAAGAGGATGTTCGGGAGCTTGGGTCTGCGGTTTTCCGGCCGCGGGGTGCCTTCCAGCGGCTGTGCTTCGCTGAGGGCGTTCGGGGGGTTGCCCGGATCGTCCCGAACGGCAGCCAGAGAGCGACCCGAACACCAGACACGCACCGTCCTGACACAAGTCAGCCTTGCGGCGCGGGAGCGGCGACCATCTCGAACCTCGAGCAGGAAACCTTCTGCGTTTGTGTGCCCATCCCCCCTCGCCCGCGTGCGCCCCTGTGCCTCCACTCGCAATGGATGCGTCCCGCAATTTCCTTGACCGCTTGTTGGACTCGCACACCAGACACGCACCGTCTTGACAAAAGTCAGCACTGCGGCGCGGGAGCGGCGAACATCTCGAACCTCGAGAAGAACCCCTGTGCCTTCACTCGCATTGGATGCGTCCCGCACTTTCCCTGACCGCTTGTGGGACTCAGCTCGCCGCGTATCTCAAAACAGGTGGACGTCCAGCCCGGGCCCGTCCCCGGGAGTCCCGTGCGGTTGGGCGCTTCCTCCTCTTCCTTCTCCGCCTCCTCCTCCTCCTCTTCCTCCTCCTCCTCCTCCTCCTCCTCTTCCGCCTCCTCCTCCTCCTCTTCCTCCTCCTCCTCCTCCTCCTCCTCCTCCTCCTCCTCCTCCTCCTCCTCCCCCCCTGCCCGTCTTTAGCCCTGGGCCCAGGCACCTGCCTGGCACAGGGGCCACCGCTGCGCACCTGCGTGGCCTCCCCTCCTCTCCCCTCTCTCCCCACGGGCGGGCCATGGTTTCCTCAGCGCGGCTGCGATGGCTGCTCCAGGAACTGGCGAGCGGGCGGCAGGCGCACATCGGGCTCAGCTCGCACGTCGGCAAAGTGGTGGTGAAGGTGCGCCTCTCTGCTGTGTGGGACCCGCGCATGAGCAATGGCTTCGCGTGCAGCTGGCTCACCCTCATCCTCAACGAGCTCCCGACGGTCATCGCGGTGGACCATGGCCACAGGAGCTCCGACGGCACCTGCATCGTGAGTATCTCGCTCAAATCTGCCCCTGCTGGGCGTGCTGGAGGTCTGCCTGATCTCCGTGGTCCGCCTGATGATCCAGGGGGGCCCGATGACGACGACAATGATCGTGGTGGTGGCCCTCGTCGTGGTCTGCGCCGCAGTACGGGTGCTGGCGGTGAAGCTCCTTGGCCTTCTGGACAGGACCCTTGGAGCGGCGGCAACGACCCTTGGAGCAAGTGGGCTGGTGCCAAGAAGCCACGGCATCATGGTGACCTTCCAGTGGTTCCTCCGTTCCCCTTCAACTCGCACGCGGATGCTTATGTACCGTTGTACGATCCTCTTGGTGGACCTGGTTCACTTCATGGTTGTCAGGAACCTCTCGGTGCTATGGGTGCCGACCCTGGTGATGCAGACGTTCGGGCGGATCCTCTAGAAGCTGGTGGTGCTGTCCGTGGCGACTCTGGAGGTGGAGAATCTCATCCTGGCCTGCTACCTGGTGGTGCGGATCTTCAGGGTGAAGTGCTTCCTGATTCTTCTCATGTGGACGATGGTCCTTCTGCTGCGGAACTGGTGCGTAATGCTGATTGTTTTCTTTCCCTCCAGGCTGCACTTCGGGAGCTTCATGATGTGGTTCACGCTGTATGCGGTGATCGTCGGGCTGGTGTACCCCTTGGCCCTGGCGGGCCGGCTCCAGCTGACGATGCTCGTGAGGGTCATGGTGGCGGGGCTCCAACTGCTTGCGACCCCCACTGTATACGGTCTTCAGTGGCCGATCTATGTTCGGAATTTGGATGGTCGTTGGAGGTGTTTGTTGGTCGCTATGTCAAAGTTTGTGGTGTGATCTCTCATCCAGAATTGAATGGTCAGATCGGTCTTATCGAGTCTGTTCAGCCTGATGGAAAATATGGGCTCCGTATGTTTCTGGATGGACGTTGTATTTCCGTGCGAGCGTGCAAGGTGGAGGAGACACGGAACCCGTTCTTTCGGCAGTGTGTGGTGTGCGTCTGCGGTGACCCGTCAGATGTTCGCGAGCAGTGCTCTCTCTGTGGTACTTCAGCTTCCGATCGGGAGGAGGTCGAACGTCGGCCAGAGTCGCGGGAAGGAGTCTTCCAGGTGCTCTACGAGAAGCAGGATGGATTTCTTGTGGAGCTGATTTTCCACGGCATGGTGCACTTGCTCTTCGCTTTCTGCGGCAGCGTGGGTCCTGACAAGCTCGCCAGTATGAGGTGTGCAACTTGGAGGCTATCTGCAGGGGCGCCTCGTTCCGCGGGTTCATCGACTGGGAGCTGTGTGAGGCCACGGTCCCGCTCTTCTCTTGTCGTCTTGCTCTTTCCGTCTTGTCCCCTCGGTCTGTCGCCTCCTCTCTCGTGCCTCGTCCCCTCGCGTTGTCGTCTCTGCGCTTTGGGGTTGTCGTTGCTTTCCCCTCGTCCTCCTCTTCCTCCTCTTCTCCCTTGTTCCCTCGTCGTCCTCCGCTCGTTGGTCAAGCTGTCGGGCGCCGGGGGAAAAAAACAAAAAAACAAAAACTCCCCCCCTGCCCGTCTTCCTCCCGGCGGCCCCCCTCGCGTCTCCCCTGTCGTGGCGTCCCCCCGCGAGATTCGGGCGGAGGGATACCTGTGGGCGAGCCGCTCGCGCTCCCCCGGGGCCTCCTGGGGGCCTGGCCGCGGCCGCCGCGCCGCCGTCTGGCCGGACTGCGCCGCGCTGCTGCGCGCGTGGCCGCAGCGCCCAGCAAAAATGTTTGCCCTGCCTCTCCTCTCGGCGGCAAGCGAAGGGGGGGAGCGAGAAGGAGAGAGCGTTCTCAAAAGGCGGCGTGGCTTCTCAGACGCCCTCGGGCCTTCTTCGGGGAGGGCTTGGAGAACTCTTCCGAAGGCGGGGGACTTCCCTGCCTTCTGAGGAGGCCTTCGTTTTCTCATGTTCCCCCCTCGCTCGCCGCCGATGCTCCCTTCTCCTGTCTCCACCTCCGCCCTGGCCGAGGAGTCTTGCCCACCTGCCCGGAGAAAGGAGGCCATCGGACACTTCCGTCGGATCACTTGCGGGGTCAGGCTCGGTGGCCCAGTTTTTTTCCCACTCGCACTCCCTTCCTAAGGTTTAGCATGTTGCATCGCACCTGCACGGGGCTCGACAGGGAGCCGACCCCGCAGCCTCCATGCGTTCCGCCAGGGGTTCGGCTCCGGCAGACAGCGAGGCGATCAACTATTGTTGTTGCTGCCGTCCTCGTCGCTCCTTCTCCTCATCGGCCACATCGGTTGCGTTCGGTTGGGTTGGATGGTGTTGTCGTTGCTGCGTCGCTGCGCCCTTTCTGACCTGGTTGTGCCCTGTCGGTTTCGGTCGGTCTCGGTTATCGACGACGGTCTGGGCAGTTGTTGGTCGTTGTGGTGTCGCTGTGGGAGTCGTTGGGGACGAGGAGGCGGAGGCGGAGGCGGAGGAGGAGGATGAAGAGGAGGAGCAGGAGGAGGAGAAGGGGATGAGAGGAGGAGGAAGTAGATGGGGGAACTGAGTATATTTGATCAAGGGGCAGAGGAGGGGTGGCCTCCGCAAGCAGGCAGCCCACGTCATCGCCAGAATGGATCTGGCGAGGAAATCGGTGTCCCACCACGACGACCACGACCGCGACCACGACGCCCCCGAGCTCGGCCACGATGGCGACCACGACGAAGATGACGAACACACCCACGACAACAACGACCACGAGCACCACGACCACGACCACGACCTGTACGAGCACGATTGAGGAGGAAGAGGAGGAGGAGGAGGAGGAGGAAAAGGAGGAGGAGGAGGCGGGGCGGAAACCCCCGAAGGGGAAAAACGAAGGGCCGTATGGCCAGGGATGCGCTGGTCAATTGCGTTTGCCACCTCGTTCTCCGTGTCCCGAATTCGCTAATTCGCGTGTCCCGAATTAGCGGCTCATGGAGAGGAAGGAGAAGAGGGGGAGCTGGAGATGGAGGGGGAGCGGGATAAAGGATGATGATTGTGGTGGTGGTGGCGTTGGCGGTAGTGGTGATACAGATGATGATGATGATGATGATGATGATGATGATGATGATGATGATGATGATGATGATGATGGTGAAGATGATGATGATGATGATGATGAAAATGATGATGATGATGATGATGATGATGATGATGATGATGATGATGATGATGATGATGATAATGATGATGGTGATGATTGTGATGACGATGATGGTGCTGATGGTGATGGTGATGGTGATGATGATGATGATGATGATGATGATAATGATGGTAATGTTGATGATGATGATGATGATGATGATGATGATGATGATGATGATGATGATGATGATGATGATGATGGTGGTGGTGGTGTTCATGATGATTATGATGATGATGATGATGATGATGATGATGATGATGATGATGATGATGATGATGATGATGATGATGATGGTGATGATGATTATGATTGTAATGACGATGATGGTGCTGATGGTGATGATGATGAGGATGAGGAGAAGGAGGAGGATGACGAGGAGGAGGAGTATGCGTGGTAAGAGAGGGAGGAGGACGAGTGAAATAACGGAGGAGGAGGATAAGGCGGATGGTTTGGCAATCGGCGGAGACCTAGTCAAGCCAGGGGGGTCCCAACATCACATTCATACTGCATGCACCTGAACGCCATCACTGCGACCGACTCAGACAGCAACGGCTGCGGACAATGCCAGGAAGAAGGCTGGCTGTCAGCACCGGACAACACGTCCTCACGGCTGAGTGCAAGCTTTGCAGAGCTGGCCATCAAGGCCCTCCTGATTGGGCAGCAGTGCCGCGAAAGCCTCCGCACTTGGTAAAAACACCACAAGCAGGCGTGCATCACATGTGAGAGTGGAGAGGCACATCTGGCAATCCGAGCGGCGCGTCTAGCATGCAGTGCCAGGCCAGATCCGCAGGCAATGCCTGGAAGAGGGCTTAAGCGGCTTCACCTGGAGCGCTATCGTCGTTCAGAAAACGACATGCCACACTTAACTAGTCGGGAGGCCTCTGTGAAGGCGAGACAAAACATCGGCGCCTGCCTTTGTGGGCTTGGCCTCGGCAAGGAGCTGGGATCTCTTGGCCATGAATCCCCCGCAGACTCGACAGTATAGGCGGCACGCAAAACGAACGTCGAGGTCCTGAGAGGCGTGCGCGCGAGGGACTGACAGGGTGCTCGATGACAGCTCCACGCCTGCCCGAGGGTCTATCTCTCGAGGCCCCAGGCACCGACCAGGGAAGACGTCGGACACCTTGCCACGAGTCGCCTCAAAGTTGCGACGGCGCAGCATGCAGTTCTACCTGGAGCCTAACATCTTGACATCATGGCCACCAGCTTCAAGCCGCCGCTTCCACGCGACATGAGACGGCATGGCCGTGCGGCGAGGAAGAGGCCACCCTACCGTGTCTTGCATCAGGCGCTTGCAGGTGAGAGACTTTTTACGATAACCACGAGGAGTCGGCGGAAAACCTTGATGGTCATCTCATCAAATTCTTTGAGCGTTTCAATGTGCTCTTGAAAACTCTCAGTACTGGCGGTGGCCTTCCCAGCGAAAAAACTAGCACAGCAATTGAGAAACATGTCAGGCTCAGAGATGCGCCACTGGCCGCGCGATGCCGGGAGGATGAGGCGGAGGTGGGACAGTAGGAGGAGGAGGAGGAGGAGGAGGAGGAGGAGGAGGAGGAGGAGGAGGAGGAGGAGGAGGAGGAGGAGGAGGGGAAGAGTTGGAGGAGGAGGAGGAGGAGGAGGAGGAGGAATAGTTGAAGGAGGAGGAGGAGGAGGTGGAGGAGGAATAACTGGAGGAGGAGGGGGGGGGAGGAGGGGAGGAGGAGGAGGGGGAGGAGGAGGAGGAGGAGGAGGAGGAGGAGGAGGAGGAGAGGAGGAGGAGGAGGAGGAGGAGCAGGAGGAGCGGCGACCCCCCCCCCCCTCCCTTCCGCGTGGCTCCTCGCGGAGGTGGCCGCAGCGAGCGCAGGCGCGGGGGCCGCGGCCGCGGCGGCGGGCGGCGCGGCGGGGGGCCGCAGCGCGGGCAGCCCGGGCAGGGCAGCGCCGGAGGAGCTGCTCCGGGTGGCGGGCGGGCGCGGCGGCTGGGTTCGAGGTTCGGGGTGCGAGGTTCGAGGCTTTCGGTTCCCGCTGGCTCTCGGGGGCTGTCCAGCCTCGGGGTGGTTTCCAGCGGTTGCGCCTCGCCGAGAGCGTTCTGGGGGTGCCAAGAGCGTCCCGGACGGCCGCCGGAGGCCCGAGTTATGACCCGAAAACCGAAGCCGGGCCCTCGCCGATCAACGACTCGGGCAAGTCCGGAAGCCTACCGCAAAGGAGAAAAAGGTACCCATATCGCTATCCTTCTTTCGTGCTCTTCTGTTGGGGCCTCCTGGGAGACCCTCGCCGCCACCGCTGGATTCCCTTCGAAGTCTTTGTCAGAACGCACCCCAGGAGAGGTCCTGGAAGTAGCGGTGCCCGTACGCGGGGGGGGGTAGGGTTCCGAGTTCGTCCAACACGCGAGCCACGCAACAAAAACGGGGTCGTCTGCGCCGACGCTGGCGCGTAAGCTGCCCGCGTAAGGTCGCGTGTAATGGCCGTCGTGTCCAATGCAGCGTGTCGCGCCGGCGGCCCGCGTAAGCCACCGCGTAAGGTCTCTATGCCTTCTCGCGTAAGACCCGTTTTTGATCGTCGTCCACGTGGCGAAATCCGAAAGAGTGCGCGCGTTCTGTGGTCGCTTGGGGGGTGGTTTGAAACCGGACCCCCCCCCCCCTGGATGGAGGGGGGGGTTCGACCAACCCCCCCCCCTCCCTCCTCTGCGTCCCCTCTCCTCGGGCAGGCGCCTGTGTCGGCGGCGGCTGGCGACGGCGGCGGGGACGTCGATTTCCATTTCTGGGCTGGCGCCGTCGCCTGCGGCGGCGGGCGGCGGTGGCGGGGAGCGTCGACGAGGAAGACGGTGGTGGTGGTGATGGTGGTGTGGTGGTTTGTGGTGGTGGTGGGTTGTGCTGCTGGTAGTAGTGGTTGTGGCGGTGGTGGTGGTGGTGGTGTGGTAGACTGGTGGTGGTGGTAGTGGTGGTGGGTTTTGTGGTGGTGGTGGTGGTTATGATGCTGAGTTCTGGTGGTGGTTGTGATGGTGGTGTGGTGGTTTGTGTGGTGCAAGTGGTGGTGGTGGTGATGGTGGGTTGAGGCGGTGGTGGTGGTGGTAGTGGTGTTGGTGTTGGTGGTAGTAGTGGTAAGTGTCGCTGCGTCCCAGCCGTCGCCGGCGCCAGTGCTGGCGCTGCTGGCCGCCGCCAGCGCCGGCGCTGACGCGAGGGGGGGGGGTTTGAACCCCCCCCTCTCGGCGCCAAAGGTGGGGGGGGGTTGAACCCCCCCCCCGCCCCCCTGGGCTGCCTCTGGTCATCGTCGCTGCGTCCCCGCCGTGGGCGCTGTTGGCGGCCGAGCGCCAGCGCCTGGCGCTGCTGGGGCCTCGAACCCGCGCCTTTGCTGCTGGCTGGAAACGCTGGGACACCCTACGCCCCCAATGCGGCTCCAGATTCCGCCCCTCCCTGCTCCTGCCCCTCCTCCCCGACGACGATAGAAGCCGCGTCGTTCGTCGTCTTGGGAGGAGGGGCAGGAGTCTCGGGGGTGGACAGAACCCCCAGAAGTGACACGTCGATTAGTGCATTGTCCGTTTTCGGTTCTCGAGAGGGCGCCGTGGCCGTCATTTTCCAGGCTTGCGCCCGCCAGGTTTGGGCCTCAGGTCGTTTTTCACTAAACCACGTTAAGGGGGGTCTGTCCATCCCCGAGAGCCGGCGAGTCGTCGGTGCGCCGCAGGAGGCAGGCACCCCACGGCCTCCGGCGACGCCGGCGGTGCGGCGGCCGCGGGCGGCTGCGCCGCCTCGGGGTGTGCGGGCGGTGCCGGCTGCTTCGACCCGAGGATCACCGCGACGACGACGTTGTCGTCGTCGTCGTCGTCGTCGTCGTCGTCGTCGTCGTCGTGGTCGTCGTGGTCGTCGTCGTCGTCGTCGTGGTCGTCCTCGTCTTCGTCGTCGTCGATGTCGTTGATGTTGTCGGCGTCTGCGTCGGCGGCGGCGTTGTCGTCGTCGTCGATGCCGATGTCGTCGTCTCCGTCCCGAGGGAGGGGAGGAGGAGATTCGGGTTTCGGAGACTTCTGGCTCGCTGCTTCCCACCATCGCGAGGCTCAGATTCTGGCCCCCTAGGGCCGCCAGAAGTCTGCCCCGTGGCGATGTTCTGGCCAGGAGGGCCCACCAAACGTGGATCGATGAGATGAGACTGGCCAGGATCGGTGCAGAAGTGGAGAAGTGCCTTCTGCGTCCTCTCGGAGAGGCGTTTATGCCACAGCTCGGCCCAGACGCCCAAGAACGCTCAGGCGCCTCGATCCTCGAGCCTCGACTTTTCCGAGGCGCTAGATGTTTCTCAGGGGGCCCTGAAACAGTTTGGTGACCACGCCGTGTGGCTCGTGTGTGTTTGTGTATGTGTATGTGTGTGTGTGCGTGTCGTGCGTGTGCTTACTCCGCCTCGTCGCTGCGAGCGAGGCCGCGACCGCCAAAAGTGTGTTTGTGTGTGTATGTGTGTGCTTGTGTGTGTGCGTGCGCGCGTGTATGTGTGTATCTGTGTGTGGATGATCATGGCCGGCCCCCTCTTCCTTCTTCCAGTGCATCTCGTGCCTTCCCCCCTTCGTCTGCGCACACACTTACTCACCTTGGGCCATGATGCCCTGACCCCTGTATTCCTGGCCTTCCCTTTGGGCACACCCGAATTGAGCGTCCAGGGTTCGATGTTGAGCTGATTCCGACCGCAGTCGTCTTCAGCGTCGACGTCGGCGCTTGTCCTCGGAGGCCCGCCGGCAGAGCGGCGGCGTTGCCGTCGTGGGGAGTGCACAGCAGAGGCCCGGGCTTTCAGGGCAGCGCGGGGTGGGTATGATTCGGGGGTGACGTTCGTGGGGGGTACGCTCAGGGGGGAACGCATCGGCCCACAATCGCCCATTGATCGCCGAGAGGGGCCCGATGCCCCACCCCGTCAAGGAACGTGCGGATTTTTTTCTATCGGGGGCCTGTCGGCGATGTATCGCCGATTCCAGGTCGACGTTTCTCCCACATAGGCATCCTCCCAAGCCGTCGCCCCTCTATGATGCTAGCTCCTCTCAGTTTTCTGGACCAGGCTTCGTGCTGGGCCTGGAGAGACAGATGCGCGTCATGGTCTCCAGCTTGGTGAGGTTCTGGGGTGTCCTGGCGAAACTTCCCGTGGCAGCTTGTGAGTTGCCCCACCGAATTGTCATCGGGGTGCACTCGTTGCGTATGTGCGTGCCGTTCTGTGAGAAAGAGATGCACAGCCTCCAGGTGAGGGCGATGATGATGAGGAAAAGGGGGAAGGGGAGGAGGATGAGGTTGGGAGGATGTGATGTGATGACGAGGGTGAGGGGTCATGGGAGGGTGGTGGTGAAGATGAGTAGTAGTAATGAGAAGACGGTGATGGCGATGATGATGACGATGATGATGATGATGATGATGATGATGATGATGCTGATGATGATGATGATGATGGTGCTGATGATGATGATGATGATGATGATGATGCTGATGGTGATTGTGATGGTGATGCTATTGACGATTATGATGACGATGATGCTGATGCTGATGATGATGCTGATGCTGATGGTGCTGATACTGATGCTGATGCTGATGCTGCTGGTACCAATGTTGCTGGTGCTGATGATGGTGATGGTGATGGTGGTGCTGGGGATGGTGCTGATGCTGCTGTTGATGATGATGATGATGATGATGATGATGATGGTGATGGTGGTGGTGATGATGATCATGATGATGATGATGCTGGTGAAGAAGAAAATGGTGATGATAATGCTGATCTAAATGCTCATTGTGATGTTGATGCGGACGGTGAAGGTGACTGTGGTGGTGGTGTTGGTTACGGTGATGATGATAATGATGATGATCAAGATGAGGATGAGGAGGATGGGGATGCGAATGATGAGGATAAGGATGAGGATGAGGATGAGGATTATGATGATGATGCTGATGATGATTATGATGACGATGAGGACGGGGGAGTACTAGGAGGAAACAAAACATGGCGACGCAGGAGGAGGAGGAGGAGGAGGAGGACGAGGTGACGAGGAGAAGGAGAATGGAGGAGCTGGGGGGCGGAGCGGAGTCGGATTAAGGCGGCGAGGGGAAGGGGGAGTGAGGCGGGGGGGCGGGGACGAAGACAAGGACGAGGGGGAGGAAGAGTAGAAGGAGGAGGAGGAGGAGGAGGAGGAGGAGGAGGAGGAGGAGGAGGAGGAGGAGCAGTCGACTGCACGCGAGAGTGGCCCCTGGAGTGACACATCCGCCGGTGTGGCTCCTCCCCGGGCTCCCCTCCGATCGCGGGATGCGGCTCGATGCGGCAGAGGCCTGCCCGCTGTGGCTTCGGCTCCGCTCCCCGCCGCCGCCCTGCCGGACGTCCCGTGGTGCAGCATCTGCCGGGCCCCTGCGGTCGGTGCTGGGCCCCCGAGCTGGATCGGGGGAGCGTAAGACCCTGGTTTGCCAGGACTCGGGTTCGCCATCGTTTTTTGACGACCGCGCCTCGGATTTTGACGAGGAGGAGTTGTGTGGGATGTCTGCAGCGGGAGGCCTCGTCAAAATGCAGGCTCGGCCTCGTCATTTTTTTGACGACCTCGTCGGGGATTTCCGAGTCCCCTGTACCCAGGTCTTACGTCCCCCTGACCCGAGCGGGAGGGTTTCTCCGAAGAGCTTGGGCGACCCGTCCTCCTCCTCCTCCTCCTCCTCCTCCTCCTCCTCCTGTCTGGGAGCGGGTGGACGGACGTCCGCTCCCCATGCCGCGCTGATCCTCCTCCTCTTCCTCCTCCCCCTCCTCCTCTCCTCCTCCTCCTCCTCCATCTTCTCATCCATCTCCTCCTTCCCCTCAACCTCCTCCACCTCCTCTTCCTTCTCGGTTCGCCGGCGGCCCCGGGGCAAACCGGGCACCCCGAGCAAGAGCTCTGTCCTCTTCGTCGTCGTCGTCGTCATCGTCATCGTCGTCGTCGTCGTCGTCGGCCGCGTCGTCGTCGTCGCCGCCGTCGTTGTCGTCGGCCTCGTCGTCGTGGTTGTCGTCGTCGGCGTCGTCGGCGTCGTCGTCGGCGTCGGCGCCGGAGAGCAGCGCTAATGGTGTCCTCTTCCCCCGCCTTCTCCCGCTCCTCCTCCCGCTCTCTCTCCCCCCTCTGCTTGCCCTCGTTCCCCTCCCTCGACCTCCACCCGGAGCATTCTGTCACCTTACTCGGCTCCCCCTCCCCATCGTCCCCCCTTCCGCGCCCTCTCCGCCCTCCAGCCCAGCTTGATTTCATTGGGTGGAGCGGCAGTTTCTGAAGTTGGCCGCAACGACGCCAGCCTGAAGGGCGGATAAGACGGAGGCTAAACGCGGAGCGAGGGCCAGAAGGAGAGGTGGGCGAGAAGAGAGGGTGGGGGCAAGGTAGGTGCGCTTGCGGCATATCTGACATTCTACCCCTCACACACATAATTATATCTGTCCGCGGACGCGTGCCGTAGCGGACCTGCAATTACCAAGAAGATCCCATCGTATTATGCGCAATCGGAACGCGGCGGAAAGGGGAAGCTGAGCAGGAGGAACAGGAGGAGGATAGGAAGGAGGAATAGAGGGAGGAGGAAGAAGCGAAGGAGGAGGAGGAAGAAGACGAGCTCGAACACCGGCAGCGGGAATGGGTGTGGAAGGAGCGGGTGGAGGATGAGGAGGAGTTCCAGGGGAAGGTCGAGGAGGCGGAACGGAGGGGGGCAACAACGATGAGGAAGGACTCAACACCAAAACACTGGCTCGCGCTGGGGCGAGAGTACCATTCCAAGCGACGGGAGCAAAGTGCCGATCGGACGATGAGGCCCACGCTGCAACTGTAGCACCATGTTGAAAGATTTGGGGAAATGCACGTTTCGGCAGCAATCGGGTTGTAAACATACATGGGGAACACACACGCGTGCCCAATCTTACGTATACTTACTCCGGCGGTAGGACCTCGCAAGAGAATCCTCTCGGCCAATCCGGAAATAGCCCTCACCGTCGTCGTCGTCGTCGTGATTGTTGAGGCATCCTTGCTGTCTCCTCTGCGTCATTCTCCTCCTCGCCCTGGCGCAGGCTCTCCTCCCGCTCCCTACGTTGTCCCCTCCTCGTCCTCCTGCTTAAATTTCACGCCCCGCCGCCCGATTGCATGAGCGCGCATATCGATTTTCGTCGGCGCCGTCGCTGCCTCCGCCAGCACGGGCGCAACCTCTAAATGCTACATTGCGCCGCAGCCGTTGGGACAGGCCCAGGCCGTCGGGGCTACCCCGCGAGCCGCTGGCGCGCGAAACTAAGCCGTTGGGACAACCCCGCGGGCTTCGAGCGGGGCGCCGCCGCGCTCAGGCGGGGGGCAGCACGAAACCCAGCTGTGCCGCGAGCTGCTCCGCCTCTGCCGTGGAGTTCTCCGGTCCGATGTCGAACTCCAGTAGCGCCTTCCGCAAGAATGCCAGCGGCCCTCGCTCCAGGAACTCGTCGCGGCAGCGGCCGCATGATCAGCATGTTCCGCATGCGCGCGGCGCGGAGAACATGACGCAAAGGTGCAGCCACCAGTGGGCGTCCGACATGCCCGTGCGACCGGCGTCCTCGTCCCTCGCGCAGTCGATGGTGACGCCCTTGCGCAGCGTCTGGCCCTGCGACAGCGTGGAGGTGGGGAAGGACGCGTGCGTCATGTTGAACCCCGAGCGGCGCACGGTGTGCGGCCCCGGGCTCTGCCACGTGTGCTGCTTGCCGGGCCTGGAGCAAGCTCCGCGCCCGCGCCCGCCACTGAAACAAATATAGTTGCTTCCAGAAAACAGCTGCCGGCCAGCGGCTCCTGCAGCGGACGGGGCCAGGGACTCACGTCAAAAAGCAACGACAAACACAATACAACAATTGCTGGCATCCGCCACCCATGGCGTTAGAAACGCCTCTGTTCGGGCAGAACGGCGCAGCGACTGGCGCGGCAGACGTACAGGGAAAACCACCAGACGCCCAGTCGTTACGTGCTCCAGACGTGACCCTCAAGGCCAGTGCAGATTTAATGTGCGGTTTTGTACATCCTTATTTCCACATCAAGAGACACCTGTTTGAGAGTCCGATTGGATTTAAGAACCTTCGCGTGAAACAAAAAAACAAAAAACAAAAACATAAAACAACAACGCTTGAACAAAAAGGCGACTACGAATGCAGGGCCCAGCACCCCTTAGAAGGGGATGGCGGCGTATCAGCACGCAGCGTTCCCTCACGCCCTCGTCGTCCGGCGCCTGGTCGTCGTCGTCTTCTTCCTCCGGCACCTGGTCGTCGTCGTCGTCGTCGTCGTCTTCGTCGTCACCGTTCACCTTCTCATCATCCGCCGGCGAGCTCTCGCTAGCATGAGTTGCGGGCCCCAAAGGGAAGGGGCACCCGCCTGGGATTTCACTCACAGACGAGACTCTCGCCTGATACTTCGCCCATACTCAAGCCCCAGGAGCCCGAAGGTGAGGACCGTTGCAGGTTTGAGGACGACCCGCCTCAGATTCGAACGTGAGCTGCGGGCCCCATAGGGCAGAAACTCCAGTCTGAGATTTCCTCGCGGTTCACTCGCAGACGAGGCTCCCGCCTGCTACTTCCCCCACTCCCACAGGCCCAAGGGGCCCGAAAGTGACGACGGATACATGTGTTCTGATGACCCGCTCGGATTGAAAAAATTAGTTGAGGGCCCCGTTAGAAAAGGGGGCACCCGCGGGAGCCTTCCGCGCAAATCACTAACAGGCAAGTTTCCCGCGTGATAACTCCTCCATATTCACTTTCCAGGGGCTTCAAAGTAAGGACAATTACAGGTTGTCCGATGACCCGCTCGGATAAAAAACGTTCGTTGCAAGCCCTACGGGAGGGGGCTCCCGCCTGAGAATTCATTGTAATCCACTCATGGACGAGGCTCCCGCCTGAGAATTCATTGTAATATTCAGGCTTAAGGGCCCCAAAGTGATGACAATTACATGTTCTCCGATGACCCGCTCGAATTAAAACGTGTTTTGCGGGCCCCATAGAGAGGCATCCGCCTGAGACTTTTTCGCAACTCGTTCACAAACGAGGCTCTAGCCTGAGACTTCCTCCGATGATGAGAAACATGGTGATGGATGTTGGTGACGATGGTGGTGGTGACGATGGTGGCGGGTGATGAGTGATCATGGTGACGATGTTGATGGGTGATAATGATGGTGTTCATTCACATGCGAGGTTCCCGCCTGAGACCTCCTCAAGCTGAGTGCTTGGGTGTGTGAATGAGTGTCTGAGACAATGACGATCGTGAAGGTGGTGTTGTGATAAGGATGATGGATGGTGGGTAATAATTGTGAGTGGGTGAACGAGCCGTGCAGGAAACGTGGGTGAGTGTGAGTCGGTGATGAGAGTAGTCGAGTGATTGTGTGAGTCTGTAAGTGATGTTGATGTTGTGATGATGATGTGAGTGATTGAGTGTGTAAGTGAGGAGAGAGGGGGGGTGTACCTTCCATCCTGTTCCTGCGCGGGGTGTCCAGCGAAAGCAAAAAACCCAGTTTGGATGTGGGCAAGAAAACAATCAGCGGAGAGGGCGGGACATCTTCCAGGCAGTGTCAGAGGAGAACGTAGGGTTTTATTCAGAATGTGTAGTTGTGGACAAGCCCGGTGCGCGGGCCATATACTCCTGCGCGCTTCGAAGCACTGTGCGGGGGCGCCCCGCTCGGACAGTATCGGGGGAAAGACGACTACGATAGATTTGCGCCGCGCTGACGCGGCGGCGACCCCAGCGCAGGCGTTCGCGTTGAAACGCCGCCAGTGGCCCAGAAGCGTCCGATGTAGAGCGATCTGCGCATCGGAAAGCCGCGATCGTTCAAGGTTGAACGATCCGTGCGACGTCAAGCACCATCGCCCGCGACATCACGACGCGAACCTGCCGTAGTATAGTATCCACGTTAGCTGCAAATGCCCCCCCCTGGAGAGCTCACGGAGGGCTTCCAGAGCTCACTATCCCGCGGATCCTCCGGTAGGCTCGCGTCGTGTCGCCCGGCGGCGACCCCTGCGCGGACGTTTACGGTTGAACGCCGCCCGTGGTCCAGCATCGGCCCATCCTTGAACGTCAGAAGAGGAAAAGGTATTGATATTGCTATTTGGCATCGTTTCTCCTTCCTGGGACATTATGGGATGCCTTCGTCACCACCGCTGGATTCGCCTCGAAATTCGTGTCCGAACGCACCCCGGGAGAGGTCCGGGAAGTAGCGGTATCGGTACATTTTGGTTTCCCCAGATCCGTCCGGCATGTCTGAAACGGCCGATCGTTCAGGGTGGAACGACCCCGCAGTGTCGGGAACCAACGCCGAGGTTGGCTAGACGCGAGAAGCTGCCGTACTCGTCCTCTTCGTCCAGCCTCGTCTCGTGCCGGCCCCCCTCCCTCTCTGGAGCCCCCCCCTTGGCAGGATGGCTGGCGCGACAGGGCCGGGCCACGTGTTCACGCAGGTGCCTATGTACGTCGGCAAGGGCAGCTGCGCGGGCATGGCAGGCACCTCCGCCCGTTCTCTGGGGGGAGCAGGAGGGACCAGGAGCAGAAGCCGAGCAGCGGGAGGAGGTGGAGCAGCAGCCTCATGGCCAGAAGCGGGGGGCGAGTCGTGGACGACACGGGCCTCCGCGCCGCGACCCCGCGGAAGCGAGGCGTTCTGTTCGATGGAACCCCGCGCGGAGCGTGTCCGCACGACCGCGTATCCGCGGGACCGCGCCGCGGAATCCAGACCTCGAGAGCGCGGATGTGGATACGTTCGCCGCTCGTGAGCAGAGGCAAGAGGCAGGAGGCACCCGGAGAAGTGGCAGCAGCAGACGGGAGCGGGAGGACGACAGACGAGGGGCGAGGGAGGGAGGGAGGGATGATGGAGAGAGGTATGCTGTTTGTTGTCCGATCGGCTGGCGTGCTCGTGTGAGATAGCGGGGGAAGAGGTGGGAAGGGCGAGGAGGGAGAGAGGGAGGGAGGGATAGGGAGGGAGGGATAGGGAGGGAGGGATAGGTAATTCTAGACGCTTCGCGTATCCCCACCAGCCCGTCCAGAAACGACGCCCAGGTGAGTAGAGGGTCGTCCTGAGGGGCTTTTCGGCGTCTTGGGTGCCTCGGGGGTGGCCTCTGTGGGCCGTTCGGGATCCTCTTTGGGGCCTCTTGGGGCCTCTTGGGGCCATCTTGGGGCCTTTGGGGGCCTCCTGGGCGCTTCTTGGGGCCATCTTTGCCCCCTCAGAAGGCCAAAATGGGACCCCAAACCATAGTGAAAAGGCCTCTGGGAGCACCTTGGGTGCCTCTGGGGGGTCTCTTGGGGCCTCTTGGGGGTCTCTTGGGGGCCTCCTGGGGGCCTCTTGGGGGGCCTCTTGGGGCCATCTTGGGGCCATCCTGCGGCCTCTTGTGGCATCCTGGGGGCCTCTTGGGGCCATCGTGGAGGAAATCGAGCAAAGAAGAGGGAAGCATTTTTTAGCGTCGCCCTTGTAGAGCCTTTAAAATCGCCTCCTGAACCCCTCTTGGGGTGTTCTTGGAGCGTTCGTTGCCGCTCTTGGCGCCGTCTTGGGGCTTTCTTGGGCCCCTTTTGGAGCTATCTTGAGCCATCTTAGAGCCATTTTGACGCCTCGGATGTGCATCGCAAGCGAAAAAGTGAGAACACCAAAAACATTGATTTTCCCTAGGGTTTTGAAGCATTTTGGCCTCTTGGAGGCATCCTAGTGATGCTCTTGTGAGTACTTGGAACCGTTTTGGGAAGCTCTTGGAGCGTCTTGGAACATCATGGGGACCATCTTGAGGCATCTTGCGCTATCTTGAGCCATCTTGGAGGTCATCTTGAGCTCCCTGAGGCCCTCTTGGAGCCGTGTTGGGCCATCTTGGACGCTCTAACTACCCGCGGCCCCCCCTGTCCAGGTCAGTGGGGAGGGGGTAGGGGGAGGGGCAAATCCCTCCCCGAAGGGGAAGAAGGAGGGGTGGAAGAGGAAACGCTCTAAACCACCGACGCCTAGAGGGCTGGTGGGATTAGGAGGGACGGAGGGGGGAAGAGAGGGATAGGGAGGATGGACGGGTTGGCGGGAGTGCGGAAGAGGAGGAGGAGGAGGAGGAGGAGGAGGACCAGTGTGATCTTTAGGTTCACCAACGATGTTGGAATACACCCTCCCTCCAAGGCTCCCTTTTCACAGTCCCCTACAAGGATTTATTTCCACTGTGGGAAGTGCCCGTTGGGGGACAACCGCGTGAAATTCTTGAAGTGTGCCAAGCACCGTTCTTTGGACTTCGACGCCACGAGTCAACCTCACTGTTGCGTCCTGGTGAGCCTGGATCGTGCCGGATACCATTCTGGGGATTTCCACACCGCGAGTCAACGTAATTGTTGCGCCTTGACAATCTTGAGGCGCTTCTAAACACCATTCCTGGCACGTTCGCCATGCGAACTCATACAAATGTTACCACTGTTTGATTCGAATGTGCGTGGTGCTAAGGAGAAAGCCACATTTTGAAAAACAACCGCCGTTCAATGTGGGAATCTCTTGCAGTTTATTTAAGACGAGTGCGCGCGGCGGTGAGACGAGATCCACATGTTGAACTCCCTGAAGAGCTTTAAAATGTTTGAAGCGAATGTGCGCGGCGGTAAGGCGAGAGCCACATTTTGAAATCGGCCCGCCCTCAATGCGTGAAACTTCTTGCAAAGTTCTGGAAACGAATGTGCGCGGCACTAGGGCGAGTGCCACATTTTGAAATGTTTGAAACGATTGTGCGCTGTGCTCAGGCGAGAGCCACATTTTAGAAACGACCCGCCCTCAATCCGTGAAACTGTTGCCAGTTTTTAAGCTCGAGGCTCGGAAATGGTACGGAAGCCTCAGGCGAAACGCCTGGCCCGCCCGTCCGACAGGCCTCAGGGTGAGACAGGCAGGAGTTAGTCTCAAGGGAAGGCTAGGATGCAAACACTTGGAGGTTACAATTTGCATCGGCGCTGGTATGTTTGCTGCTGATAATCGGCCCGATTTGTGCGAACCCGGCCTGATCCGGTTTAGTCCCGCTGAATCCGGATTCATCCCTTGTTAAATTAAATCCGGCCTAATCCGACGAAGCGACCTTCGAATCGTTCTGGCGGAAGCCTCCAGGAAACGGTTTTTGAAGGGAAAGGGGATGGAACACGAGGAGAGAGAGAGAGAGAGAGAGAGAGAGAGAGAGGAGGAGCAGGACCAGGAGCACGAGCGCTCGGGAGGGGGTCAGGGAGGAGGGCGTCGCCCGCCCGCGCGCTCCCAGGGAGCCCGCAGCAGCAGCACGCCCTGTGGGCCGCAGGCGGGCGGCGGGCCTTTTGGGCGCGCGGCCCCGGCCGGGCGGGCCAGCCAGCTCCTCTTGGGGGGGGGGGGGGCGCAGAGGAGCCAGGATGGGCGACCTGGTAAGGGTGGGGGGGAGTGAGGCAGCGGCGGAGGAGGAGGAGGAGGAGGTGACAAGGAGGAGGGAGGAGGAGGAGGAGGGAGGAGGAGGGAGGGAGGGAGGAGGAGGGAGGAGGAGGAGGGAGGGAGGAGGAGGGACGAGGAGGGACGAGGAGGAGGAGGAGGGAGGAGGAGGAGGGAGGAGGTAACAAGGAGGAGGAGTGAGGCAGCGGCGGAGGAGGAGGAGGAGGAGGAGGAGGAGGTAACAAGGAGGAGGAAGAGGGCACGAGGAGCGGCGCCAGAGGGAGTAGCAGCAGCAGGAGTAACATCAGTGGTCGTGTCGCTCGTGCACGGCAGACGGCCACCAGTGAGAGCAAGCAATCGCACAGCAGTGCGAGGCAGATGCGAAGGAGGAGAAGCAGGAGGACCAGGAGCAGGGGGGGAGGGGTACGTACGAGGTGTGGGGAGGGGGGTGGAAGAGGGCCGCACGGAGCGATCGGAAAGGAGCCGGGTGGATGAGATGGGGAGGACGGAGGAGGAGATCACAGTATAAATCAGGAGAATTTGAAGGAGAGCATTATGGAAAGTTGGATGAGGAGGAGGAGGAGGACCAAACACAGGACGCATCAGATGTGTTGCAATCCACCCTCCCGGCCGTGGGCCTCTTCCCCAGAATACCTCACAGATCTTCCTTTCCGCTGCGAGAGGCGCCCCCCTGGAAGGAGGAGTGCCTGGTGAGCTTGCCACGCGGGCGAAATTCATGGTTCGACGCGAAGGTCGGGCTGGACGAAAGGGTGGGATAGGGAAAGGGTGGAACACGACATCTGCTGCATGCAGCTGGTTCCCGCCCCGCCGCCGGGCCTATCCTTCTGCAACCCTGCCCTTTGCGACCCTGCCCTTGACTATCCTACCCTTTCGCCCCCGCCCTTTGCTACCCTCCTCCTCCTCCTCCTCCTCCTCCTCCTCCTCCTCCTCCTCCTCCTCCTGCTCCTCCTCCTGTCGGCCTCCACCCGCCGGTCCCCAGTTTTGTCGGCCCCGTGCAATGGGCCCGTCAGCTGGGAGACCAGTAGAGCGCGTGCAGCGGCCCTGAGGCACCTCAAGGCTGGCCGACATCCCCGTACAGGGATCCCCCTTGAGGAGGGATTTGGCGGCGACCAGCGCCGCGCCTGCTTCCCAGGCTCCCCAGTTGCCGTAGGCAGCTGCGGACACCTGCAGGCCCTCGCGTCCTCCTCCTCCTCCTCCTCCTCCTCCTCCTCCTCCTTCTCCCTCCTCCTCCTCCTCCTCCTTCTCCCTCCTCCTCCTCCTCCTCCTCCTCCTCCTCCTCCTCCTCCTCCTCCTCCCCTGCCCAGCACCTCTGGCGTGGCCGCCCCCAGGGGGTGCCACAGGGGGCGGTGAGGCCCCCGCCCGCGCCCCACGCTTGGGCCGCCCGCTCGTGGCCCCTTCTGGGGAAGGGGGGGTCCTGGGAGGTCCGCGGACGTGGGCCGCCCCGATGGGCCGCAGTTCGGGGGCCTCGAGGAGGAGGAGGAGGAAGAGGAGGAGGGAGGAGGGAGGAGGAGGGAGGAGGGAGGAGGGAGGAGGGAGGGGGGAGGAGGGAGGAGGAGGCGGAAGAGGCGCTGACGTGGGCCGACCCGATGGGCCGCATTTCCGGGGCGTCGTTGAGGGCATGGGCTGGCTTGGCCGGCGCTGGTTTCGCTGGCTCTGGTTTCGCCGACGGCTGGTTTCGCCGACGGCTGGTTTCGCTGGCGCTGGTTTCGCCCCGCCGGTTTCGCTGACGGCTGGTTTCGCTTGCGCTGGTTTCGCTGGCGCAGGTTTCGCCGGCGCTGGTGTAGCCGACGCGAGCCCTAACGGGCGGGTTGGATCGGGCGGGCGGACCCTAACGGGCGGGTCGGGTCGGGTATGGCGGGTTATGTTGCCCCCATCGTACTGACGGGCCAGATCCCAGAAATAATTTCGAGCTTCCAGAAATGTGTCGTCGAAACTGTGTCGAAAGAGGATCGCTTCCCAGTGCCCGACACGTGAAAACGCTGCAGTTTCGGTGCCCGAAGTTCTTTCTGGTGATCAAGGCTAAAAGTACAGAGCAGTTTTTAATATATGCTCCGCGTGCGGATCATGTATTAAGAATGCAGGGATTCAGCGTTAAAAACAACGATGCGTTCATGCACACCTGTATTCATACATTAATCATTTACTCATAATCCCATGCTTTCAAGCATCCCATGTATTAAAACCTGCCCTATAGGTTGGGACATCATATGGTGAGAGGGGTAAGAGGTACCCATATAGTTACCGTGACCCTTGCCTTGTTTTCCCCTTTTTGGGCCTCCCAGGCGGCCCTGGTCGCCACCGCTGGATTCGCCCCGGAATTCTGGTCAGGACGCACCCCGGCAGAGGTCCGGGAAATAGCGGTATGGATATGTTCTGGTTTCCCCCATCCTGGCCGCATTTCGGGGACATGAGAGGCACGCTCCTGCAGTACCCGCAGCCGAGTGAACATGGGGCATCCTCCCTTCTCCTTGCTCTCTCCCTCCTTGCCGCAAACCTTCTGGTTGCCGAGTGCAGTCCATCACCTGACCAGCCAGCGTTTGAGTCGGATGCGCAGCCCACATGTCTCTCCTCCTCCGTGGGTCGGTCCCCCTCGTCGCCTGTGCGGCTGCTTGTGGGAGCCGGCGCTCAGCTCGAACCCACGTCGAAGCAGAACGTTCCCTTTCCCCAACCGTCGGAATGAAATATTCCGCATTCCCTCCCACGTCGGAATAAGAACCCACCTCCCCTTTCCTTTTCCTGATCCCTTTCCTCCCGCGGCCGCGGCGGGCGAGAGCGGAAGATATCGCTCCCAGTCGGCGCCAGCGCCGCCGCCGGCCGAGGGGTCGCGCCACGGGGGGCGCCCCGCGCCGAAAGCGTCGTCGTCGTCGTCGTGTTCAACGTCGTCGTCGTCGTCGTCGTCGTCGTCGTCGTCGTCGTCGTCGTCGTGTTCACCGTCGTCATCGTCGTCGTCGCCGTCGCCGTGGCCTCTGTCGTCGTCGTCGTCGTCGTCGTCGTCGTCGTCGTTCCCCCCCCCCCTCCCCTGCCTTGTCTTCACCAAGCGCGCGGGAGGCAGAGGCCGAGGAGGAGGAGGCGGAGGAGGAGGAGGAGGCAGGGAAGAGGAAGTGGATGAGAGGGTGGAGGGAGGACGGAGGACGATGAGGGAGGTTTCGAGGAGGAGGGGGAGGAGGAGGAGGAGGAGGAGGAGGAAGAGGAGAGGGAAGTTTCGAGGATGATAGTGACACGGGAAAAGTAGAAGGAGGAAGGGATCGAGGAGGCGAAGGCGAGGAGAGGGACGAGGAGGAGGGTGGGAGCGATAGGGAGGAGGGAAGAACTGAAGGATTGAGGAACTTCGAGGACGGGAGGAGGAGGACGAGGATGAGGAGGAGGAGGAGGGGGAGGAGGGGAGGCGGATTGGAGGAGGAGGAGGAGGAGGAGGAGGAGAATGAGGGAGGAAGGGATGAAGGGAGGGAGGGAGGGAGCGAGCGAGGGAGGGAGCGAGGAGAAGGAGGAGGAGGGGGGGGAACATCTTCCATCCCCATGTATCCACATTCCTCCATCTTCCTCTCCAAATCTCTTCCTTCTCATCTTCCTTTGTTATTCTTATCATTCATATTCCCCACTATCGCTTGTCGGGAGGAGGAGGAGGAACAGCAGCAGCAGCAGCACCAGCACCAAGGAGGAGGAGGAGGAGGAGCAGGAGGAGGAGGAGCAGTGCGAAGAGGAGGAGGAGAAGGAGGAGGAGAATGTAGATGAGGAGGAGACGGAGGATGCCGCATGTTTGTTGTTGCATCCGCGCGAAGCCCAGCTGCAAAGATAGAGGAAGTCGTGCATGATTCTGGTATGCATCCCTGCGATTGCTGCGCTGACGATCCACAGGCGGATCAATCACTCAATCGCCCACAGCCGCATGATGATCAGCGGCTTGATATCGTCCTGTTTGCTGGTGATACCCAGCATGAGGTCCCGCAGCCTCCAATCAGCAGCTTGTTGAACGTCTCCATATTCTCAACGGCACGCGGATGAACCACTTTCAACACAAGAACCATCGCAATTTGATATCGGGATCGATGCTAGCGAGGTGCGTGACCTCTGCCGCCGACGGGATTTCCGTCGCCGACGGAGCGGGATACTATTTTTCGGTGCAGTTTGCTTGGCACTGAGTATCCCGTGCGCGCCGCATTCTACTGGCCAGGGACACCACCAGCGGCATGCGTCGGAACCTGGTTTCCTGCTGACTCGGGTCTGGAGTTACCCGGGTCAGAAGATCCCCGAATGCGCGGAGTGATTGGCCCACGCTTGCGCTTCATCTGGAAACGCATATTTCCCCGTTGTCTCGATGTGCCATGACGCGGCATGTTGGACTGACAGGATGCGCAACGTATCGATGGTATTGGCGCCGTTTTCGCTAAATGAAGTAGTCCGTCCAGTTGACCTTGCCTATCTCTTCCTGTGGCATATGTGTGTTCCCACTTCCGATGTAATGGGAGTCTGCTTTGCATGTTCTTTTGGCGTTGTGCATTGCCATCGCTACTGAGTTACGTTGACGATGCATGTCTTCACGACTTCGGCGTTTTCCCCGTGCTCCTCCCCCCCTCCTCGTCCCCGCAAATTGCCTGTCCGACTCGGGTCTCCTGCTTCGGCAGGTCCACGTTTCGTGAGCATGTGTCGTGCCCACTTAGTATGAGCATCGTGTGGCTTCATCGCGTTGGTAGCATCTGTTTTTTTGTATGACGGTGGCTTCTCCTGAAATGCTCTCTGCATGTCGTTCAGATTCAAACTTGGAACTCCGACACCCCTCTGGGGGAGTCGTTTGGGAGTCTGCCAGAGCCGTCCGCTCTCTGCGTGCCACCGTGCGCCTCCTGCACAGGCGTTCAGGGGCCAGAGAGTGCGAGCGACCTGTGCGCCGCTCTCGGCAGAGTCAACGTCCACAGTATCGATGCGTTGTGTCATCAAGGCTACCCTTGCATTCCTGCTTCTTCGGCCCATCCTGAGCCAATATTGACGTCCACGGAGCTCTCAAGGTCAAATCAGACCTCCAAGAATTGTTGCATCCTTACCTTGCATCCTTGCTGTTGATGTGAATTGTATTACACTCGAATCACGGGGCAGTGGTCAGGCTGAGTGCCACCGCTATCGCGGCCTGTGTTCTTTGTGCTCGCGATTGGTTCATTGCCGCAGACGCGAATTGTCCACAGTTTGACAAAGGTTCGTTGTACCGCATGGTAGCGCGGTCAGAAGGGACTGAGAGGATCGTGACTTAACTGAATTGGGTGATGGGGAGGAAAGGGGAAGTGAGGACAGGGCAGGAGAGAAGGATCATGGGAACATGAGGAAAGAGCAAGAGGGAGGGAAGAGGAATGACCGGGAACGACGCGTGAAGGACGAGGGGCGCGGGGATGTATGGAGGGAAGGCGGGACAGCCAGGGGGAGAGAGCGGCAAGGTCGGAGGGCCAGGGAGGGAAAGGCTAGAAGGTGGAGGTCAAATGAGAACGTTTGGAAGATCGGAGGCGAGGGAGCGGGAAGCAGAGAAGAGCAGAAGGGACGACAAGGTCGGCAGGTGGGAAACATTGACAGGAAGAGCTAAAGGACGGGATGGATAAGGATTGACAGGACACCAGGGGGTAAAGAACAAACATAGAGTGGTGGGGCAGGAGTGGTGGAGGGGGATGGAAGGGGAGCACAGACGGCAGTGGGGACGAGAAATTCGGGCAAGGGGGAACGGGAAAACGGACGAGAGGGACGAGATGGGGAAGGAAGAGGGGAAGTGGACATGGGAAGAAGGGGAAAGGAGAAAGGGGAGGGGGAGGAATGAGAAGAATGAGCAGTCGATGGGGCGGGATCGGGAGCTGTGGTGGGAGCCGGAACCGAGGCAGGATCAGGAACATGTGGTATGGCAGGGGGAAGGAAGGATGCAGAAGAGGAGGAGGACGGGGACCGAGGACGCGGATGTCCATGACGATGGTGAGTATGGTGGTGTTGATGGTGGTTACGATGAAGATGATAAACATGGACCATGATCGCGGTGTTGGTGGCGGCGATGTTGAAAGGGGTGGTTATGATGATGAGCGTGATGATGCTGATGGTGATGATGATGGTGACGATAATGATGATTATGACGACGATGTCGATGGCGATGACGACGACGTCGACGACGACGATTATGATGATTATACTGACGCTGATCGTGATGATGACGATGCTGATCATGATGATGATGATGATGATGATGATGATGATGTCGATGTTGATGATACTGATGATGATGATGATGATGATGATGATCATCACCATCATGATCATGATCATGATCATGATCATGATTATGATGCTGATGACGATGACGATGATGATGATGATGATGATGATGATGATGATGATGATGATGATGTTGCTGATGATGCTGATGAGGATGAGGATGATGGTGCGGATTAGGATACTGATGCTGATGAGAATGACGATGCTGACGATAGTGATCATAGTGGTGATGAAGGTGGTGACTGTGACGGTGACGAGCATGACCATGTTGGCGGTGTTGGTGGCGACAAAGTCGACGGCGGTGGTTATGATGATGAGCGCGATGATGTTGATGATGATGGTGATGATGGTGCTGATGATGATGCTGATGATGATGCTGATGATGATGGTGATGGTATGACGACGATCGCGATGGTAATGACGACCACGACGTCGACGGCGACGACGATGATGATGATGACACTGATGACGTCAATGATGGTGATGCTGATGATGATAATGCTGACGATGACGTTGATGATGATGATGATGATGATGATGCTGTTGATGCTGTTGATGCTGATGAATATGAGGGTGACTACGATGATGATGCTGATGCTGATGATGATGATGATGATGATGCTGATGATGATTATGATGCTGATGCTGATTATGATGTTGATGATGAGGATGAGGATGCTGACGAAACTGACGGAGGAGGAGGATGAGCATGCTGGTGAGGATGAGGATGGTGTTGGTGATGTTGATGATGATGATGATGATGATGATGATGATGATGATGATGATGACATTGATGATAGTGGTGATGGTAATGCTGATGATGAAGAGGAGGATGATAATGATGAGGACGATGAGGATGAGGATGTTGCGCGTTGGTGACGACGATGTTGTTGGTGATGCTGATTATGCCGATGCTGTTATGATGCTGATGACGATGATGATGATGATGATGATGATGGTTATGATGATGATGATGATGATGATGCTGATGATGCTGATGTTGATGATGATGATGACGGTGATGATGATGATGATGATGATGGTACTGGTGCTGATGCTATGATACTGATGTTCATGACGATGATGAAGATGGTGATGGTGATGGAGATGATGATGCCGAGGATCAGGACGAGGACGGTTGATGAGGATGCTTCAGTTGGCGATGATGCTGATGATGATGCTGATGTTGATGATCTTGATGATGATGAGGGTGGTGGTGGTGGTGGTTATTGTGATGGTGATGGTGACGATGCGCGTGATGGTGGTGGTGATAGTGATGATGAGGATGCTGCTGCTGCGATCTTGATGATGACGGTAGAGATGGCGGCGGTGATTGTGACGATGGCGGCGACGATTATGATGCCCGTGCTGTTGATGGTGGTGGTGAAGTTGGTGGTGACGGCGATAGCAAAACGGAAGAGCACGGGGAGGCCACCGAGGAAGATGAAAGCAGGCGGATGCGGATGAGGAAACGGAGCCGTCATTGAGCAGCATCAACAGAGGCTGAAGCTCGCGCGCGAGGGTGGGAGGCGGATGGCCTGGCGGGAGCGGCATCCCCACCGCACCCGTGCCAGGTGCGCGTCGCTGTGCGGAGGACGGCTGCTCCACGATTGGCCATCCATTTACCGGCCGCGAGACCCTGGATTCCTTATCCAATAAGGGCGTCGACGCGTCCGCCATGTGGACGAGGGGCCGTGGAGGAAAAAGAGGGGGGCTGCGCCGACTTTCACCACCACCCGCACACGCTCATCGAGGTCTTGGCGCCCCGCTCTCCTCAAGGTTCTTCGACGCCGCGGCCCAAACCTGAGCGGCGCAAAGACGAATGGCGCCGCCACCCCCCGCCAAAAAAAACCTACCCACCCCACCCACCCCTCCCGCTGTCCTGGCCTCCGAAGCCTGCCCGAGCCCCAGAGGCGCAAACAATGTTGCTCAGGTGTTAGAAGTTCGGGGGGACACCGACGACACAACCATAACAGTTCTCGGCGGCGAGCGAGCAGGGGGGGGAAGTGAGAAGGAAACGGCCTTATCAGAAGGCGGCGGGACTTCTCAGCTTTTCAGAAATCCCCCCGCCTTTTGAGAGTATTGCTGCGTCTTCAGGGAAGCTTAGAATGCTTCTCCAAAGGCTGGGGGACTTCCGAGCCTTCTGCGAAGGCCCGCCCCTTCTCACTTCCCCCTGTCGCATCTGCGCTGGGCCTCCCCCCTTTCCCTGCGGATTTCATCGACAGGCATTGGGCCCCCCTTGTTTGAGGCGCGGATCGCGGCGGCGGCGGCGCCGCAGGCGCCGCCAGGGGGGCCCTAGCGCCGATCCGAGAAATCCGGGCGGACCTCTGACGTTTTATATTTGTGTCGAGGTTTGTTCGGGAGGCCGCCCCCTTTGTCCCTGTTTCTGTGTACGGTCGCCCCCAGAGTGGGAACCCTCCCAGGTGTGGAGGCGCAGGAGGAGCGGAAACGGAGAGAACGAAGGGGGAGGAGGGAGGGAGAGAGCGGTGAGGGAGTAATGGATCAGAGAATCGGGGGGAGATGGAACAGCCAGGGGGGGAAGACGGTTGAACGGAAGGGACTGAGAGGGAACGCTTGCGAAAAGGACGGAGAGTGGCGACAAAAGCCAAACTGAGGGGGGCACGGATAGGCGAGGGGGAGGACGAGGGAGTGGAGCAGGGTCGGGTGGAGATGCGCATTTCTCCTCCTTCGTCGGCCTCTTCCTCCCCGTTATATGCGTCTATATTTTCCTCCTCCTCCTCCTCCTCCTCATGTTTTCTTCCTTCCCTCCTCCCCCCTACGCGTTCCTGTGTTCTAATGTTGTGGGGCATTATGTCCACATCCACGATGCGTTTGGAGGTTCGATTTCCAAACGCTGGACGGGCTGCCCGAAGCTTGGCCATGAATTGCCCAAGTGACCGTTTTTCTCCTCCCCAGGGTACCGCTCGTTACCCAGGCCCCCCCCCCGGGTAGATCTACCCCCCCCCAAAAAATATGCTGTCGCACACAAAGGCGATGGATGCGCCAGTAGCGCGGACGCACCCTGGCGGATGCACGCCGCGGCCGCCGTCACCGTTACCTTCCCGCCCGAACCCTCCCCCCAGCCGGGAAATAACAAAAAAGGTCACGAACTGCGGAGCAAGCTTGGAGAGTGCCAAGACTGGACCGAACGCTCTGCAGCGATCTGGCTTAAACTCACGCAAGGATACGCCCCTGCCCCATCATGACCCCCCATCGTGGCCCGGTATCGATGGCCCCCATCGTTGCCTCCCATCGTAGACGCTGAACGTATGTTCGGGGTCTTCTGCCGCAAGGGTGTGGTTCACGACAGATTTCGCCCTTGTCTGGCGGGGTTCGGATGTCCCTAAGGGCCCCCAGAGGTCTCCAGAGGTTTTGACGGACGTCTCACGAGTCTTCGCGAAAGTCTTGAGAGCCCCCACAGAGGACCAAACGCGTCCAAACTTGGATCTTCCGAGGAGGAGGAGGCGGAGGAGGAGGAGGATGGGGAGGAGAAGCCGGAGGAGGAGGAGGAGGAAGAAGAGTGGGCGGAGCAGGAGGATCAGTACGATGAGAAAGAGGAGGAGGTGGAGTGGCGGGGGAAGGATTCGATAAGATCATTATATCTTCAACCCCAGTAGATGCTATGTTTTCCCGAGCGCTGTGCTCAGAGTTTGATTTGCAAAAGCGCGCATCCTTGGCCAAGCCAATTCCACAAAGGTAGCGGATGGCAATTCGAGCGGTGTGCCTCACGTTTTGAAGGAGGGTGCACACACCAGGTCTCTCGCATCAGGGCAGTCGGCTTGGGCCCCGAGATAGGGCCAGCATGGCCCCTACAGCCACCGACGTTCGAGGTAGCCACAGGGAGCAGCGGTAGCTGTGGAGCTTTCTCTTTCGTGATCCTAAGTGCGCGCTTACTCTGAAGCAGGGATGCACGCGCCTGCCGCTCAAACCGACGCAGGCACCAGCCCCATCCGCCTCCCGGCGTTCGGTCGTCCCCCTCTTCCCTCCTCTGCCTGCTTGGTCATCTTTCACCCCTCCCTTGGCTGTTTGCCAGGGTGGAGAGGCGCGATGGTCGCAGTCTTCACTGCCAAACCGAAGCCCCAAAACGGGCCAGGCACGTCCAGCGGAGGAAGGGCGATGCGGCATGGGGGCACTCTGGCGCACCCCGCGGAGCCCAGGCAATGCTGGGCCAGCCTTGCGGCGGCAAGGCGCTCGCCCCGCCCCCGCACCCGTGTTCTCTCCGCCCCCAGTGCTGCTGCTGAGCAGGAGGAGGAGGAGGAGGAGGAGGAGGAGGAGGAGGAGGAGGAGGAGGAGGAGGAATGGGGACCCATACCTCCAATTCCTTTGGCGAAGTCGGGACGGGAGTTGTTCCTGTGCTCCGCCTCCTGAGGCCCCTCACCCAGCAAGTACCCAGGATCCAAACCAGCCTCGGCAAGTCTGGCCACCCCGTGCTGGGCGCTCGCCCCGCCACGCGTGTCATCTTCCGTCCCCCTGTCTGTTGCTCTTGGGGAGCACGGAGCCTGCTTCTGAGATAGCCCTCTGGAGGGCAGCGCCCGCCACGCCACCACCCGTGCCTCCCCCGCCCAGCCTTCCCCCTCCCTGCAGCGGGCACGATCGCACGCGAGGGGCGCCCCGGACCCCCCCCCCTCTGGCGTTCCCAGGCAGGCGGTGCTCGGTCGAAGCTCTCGGGGGCCCCCGCCCTCCGGGGCCTGCTTCCTGCCGTGCCGGGGCCGAAGGGCCGGGGAGGGGAGGTCCGGGGGCCACGGTGGGGCTCCCCGGCCGCCACCCTGTCCGTGCTGAGCTGCCTTGTCAATGCCTCGCTCTCCTGGGGCTTTGCTGCGCTCCTGCTCGTTAGCGCTCCTGCTCGTTAACAGTTGTCACGTGTGCGGATCTAGGCCTCCTGGATGGGGTCGGAGTAGATGGGGCCGAAGGATCGTGCCACGTCGCCGATGCATCGCCGATGCGGCTCGATGTGGGGCCCACTTTTCTCCACGCCGACGTCGCCGATGCATCGCCGAGGTCGGCAGTAGGTCGCCGATGCATCGGCGATGCATCGGCGATGTATCGGCGATGCGGCGCGATCCTCTGACCCCGTCTACTCCGACCCCATCTAGGAGGCCTCTAGCGGAGCTACGCTGTCAATGCCGTGCTCTCCTGTGGCTTTGCTGCGTTCCTGCTCGCAACGCACACCGCCAGAGGCGGCGGAGAGCTTGAGAGATCCACCTATCAAAAGGGAATAGGCAGCACGCTCGCGCTGGCGATGGCGTTTCTGTGCAGCCTTGGCTGTACCCTTGCTCGCTCAGCGACTTCGAGCGACACGCTCGTGTGCAAGATGCTCTGCCTTCTGTTAACGTTGTGGCATTGATGACGAGAGCACACGACAGGTGGATGGATACAGCATAGGGGGGGTGCATCGACCCCCCCCTCGTCCATTCATCGCCGATCGGGACCCGATAGCCGCAGCCTGCCCAGGAACGTGCGGAATCAGTATCGGGGGCCTGTCGCCGATATCTTTGGGAAGTGTCGTCGATTCCAGGGCGATGTTTCGGCCTCTATTCCATTTCCCCTACGGTTGCGCCTCATCGTCCATTCAGGTTGACTGCAGCCCGGGCTTGCCCAGGAGCGTGCGGATTCATTATCGGGGGCCTATCGCCGATCTGTTGGCGACGTGTCGTCACATGTACTGGACAGTCCCAACCTTGTTCTACCTGCAGTCGATAGGAGGCCTGCGTGCACCTGTCTCGGGCCAGAAGCCCCAGGAATTTTGTCAGGGTGGGGCAAAGACCGTGTCTGGCTGTACAGTTTTCAACAGGATTGCTGGTGGATGTTGCCGAAGTCTTTTGGGGTCGTGATGACGCAGAGGGTGCGCAGTACAATTGATTCTTCCTTGGATGTTGTCGAAACCTGAAGTTCTCCTTGTATTCCAGGCACCTCCTAAGCCAGTTTGAAACTTCGCCAGTTCTGAGGGCGCAGTGTTTCCTTCGTCCCTAGCTGTAGTGCAGCGTGGCTCTGGTGATGGTGAGTGCTCGAGGGAGCGAGCATCGTTGTGGCTGATGGCATTTGCGAGAGAAACATATGTGATACGATCCGATTTCCCGATCCGATGCTGGCCGATCCCGCCCCGCCCGGGCTGGCGTCGGACGGGGCCAGGACGAGAATTGGTCCGTTCCAGAGCGTTTCGGAGCGATCTCAGAGCGTTCCGGAACGTTCTCAGAAGGCCGCCGGATCGTAGAGGTTCGCGATGTATTCTCACCCGGTTTGGTCCTCGTCTTAGCTTCGTCTTGTGTCAGCCACGCGCAGAGGGGGGTGGGGGGAGGGGGGAGGGTTTTTTAGAAGCACCCCTGCTTCTGAGAAGGCGCGGGCCTTCTCTATAGATGTGAGGCTGGCGCCTTCTAAGAAGCAGCCTCCTTCTAAGAAGCCCTCCCCCCTCCCTCCACCCCCTTTGTGCGCGCCGCCAAGTGTGGCCCCCCCCAGGGCTCGCAGGCTGGGGCCATGGACCCCCAGCAGTGGGCCGCCATGATGCCCATGTATCCGAGCCGCGCCGCCGCGCACGGCCCCGCCGCCCCGCTGCTGAAAGCCCCTGCCGCCTGCTCGTCTTTGCATAGCACCTCAGGCTGGGGGAAAGAGAGAAAGAGAGAGAGAGGGAGGAAGGGAGGAAGGGGCGAGCGAGGTCTGGAGGGCAGGGAGGAGGAGGAGGAGGAGGAGGAGGAGGAGGAGGAGGAGGAGGAGGAGGAGGAGGAGGAGGGGGGAGGAGAGGAGAGGAGGAGGGAGGAGGAGGGAGGAGGGAGGAGGAGGGGCTGCCCCCCTCTGCGGTTTCAGGCAGTTGCGACGCGTCAGGGCTTGCCTGTTAAGGCCACCGCAGGATGTTCTAAAAGCCCATTTGTGGTTGGCACGACATGTCCTTAGAACATTTCTGCCTGAGACCGTCTTGCTCGAGTACATCGGCTCTATGTTCTACGAAGCGGCTGTTTGTTGCGAGAGCCTCCCTTTGGTTTCGGGAACATGCCGTGGCACGCCTTGTGGGATGCGGGGACGGTCGGCCCCTCCTTAAGCGGCATCTCGGGGTGCCACAATTACCTTCCTGGGCTGGCTCTTAGCTCGTCCCTGTTCGGCTTCCAGTCGCACCGAGCTTCTGAGCGGGGGCTCCAGGGATGTCCTCTCGGGTGTCCCCATGTGGAACTTGGAAGTTGGGCATGCGGGGTCGAAGGATTCGGTGGGCGTGATGTCGGCGATGGGGATCCTTGGTGGCGTGGCTGGTGCTGTCTGCCCTTCGGTGCTCAGGTCGATGAGAATCTTGGTGGTAGGAGTCTTGGGCTTCTGCGGGTTGGGTTTAGGCGTCGGGGTTACGAACTGCGTCGCGGATGGGAAGGGCGACGCCCGTCGGGAAGGCTGCTCGGTCGGAATGGGCGCATGGGCTTCGGGCGTCTGGGAGACGTCTGCTAGGTCTGTGGGCGTCGGGGTGGGTGATGGTGGGGGTTCGTCGTGAAGATCGGCGTCGTCAGACTCGCCGAGTTGGACCAGCTGGGAGTCCTCCACGAGGATGGCTTCCTGAGGCGGCGGCGCAGCTGGAGGTGGCAGCGGCGGCGGCGCCTTCATCGGCAGCGGCGGGGCGGGGTCCTCTGCCGGCGCGAGTCCGAGGGCCTGGAGGCTGAAGTCGCTGTCGGGTATCGTCGAAGGCCTCGACGAGGTGTGCGCTTTCTCGCCTTGGGAGCAGGCAGCAAGCTCGGACGCGTAGACCCCGGCGTCCTGGCGCGGGCGGTCGAACTCCGTGGTGGGGAGGATGGCCATCAAGCTGTGCTCGAGCTCCTCGCGCCGGTGGGCCTCCCCGTGGGCTGCCAGCGCTTGGTCGCGGTCCATGACTGCGTCCTCGCTCTCCAGCTTGGCCGCCATCTCATCGAGCATGTTGGGCTCCAGCTCGCCATCCTCTGTCGCTGTCGTCTCCTGCTCGTGGCGGACCTGCGGCCCCCAGTGCATCCTCGCGCTGTCGTGCTGGACCGACTGCAGGTGCTGGAAGGCGTCGCGCTGCGCCTGCTCCGCCTGCTGCTCGAGGCGGCGCATGCTGGCGCGGTGCCCCATCCACCCCGGACTGGCCGACGGCGGCCATCTGCTAGCGCTGACCTTCGCACGCCTGCCTGGCCCCCTTTCCTCGAGGAGCCGCTTGCCCTGCTGGTGGGCCTCGGCCTGCTCCGTGCCAAACGCGACGAGCCGCCTCTCCTGCAGCGCGTGGTGCGCCTCCATGGCCGCCTGCCTTCCTGGCCTGGAGCTCGAGGTGCGATGCAATCGTCTCCTTGCCTGCCTGAGCCTCCTGGTGGCCCAGCTCCGCGGCGTGCTGCGCCTCCGAAGCTCGCGCCTGCTGGGCCAGGGCTAGCGCTTCGCTCTCCAGCTCGGCTTGAGTCTGGTGGCAGCGCTCGCGCTCCTGGCGCGCCAGCTGCAGGCGCTGTTCCTCGCCGAGCCGAGCCCTGTTCGCTACCTCCATCATGGCACGCATCTCCTGCTCGGAGCTCTTCTGCTCCTGGAGCGCCTCCTGGGCCTGCATGGTGAGGTGGCTCTGCAGCTGCTTAAGCGCTGCGCCTGCCTCCTCCTGCAGGTGCTGCTGGCTCCCGCTCTGCCACTTGCGGCATGCGGCCTGCTCGTGCTCGAGCTCGCGGTGAGCAGCGCTCCTGACAGCCTCGACCTCACGCTCGTGGCCTCGCTGCTGGCCCTCCAGCTGCTCGGAGACCGCGCGCACGGTCTTCTGGGCCATGGCCTGTTCGCAGCTGCGCAGCTCGGCAGCCTGGCTCTGCTTCATCTTCAGCAGCTGCGGCCTGAGCTTGGCAGGCAGGCTGAGGAGCAGCTGGCGCTTTGGGCGGGCTGCTGCCTTGGGCGGGGACGCAGGGCCCTGTGCCTGAGACGGCCTGGAGGGCCTGGCTGTCGATGCATGCGGCGTCTGCGCCCGGCCTCGGCTTCCGACTCCGCGTCGGCCAGAGGCCTCCGCGTCGCCTTCGGCCTCGGACTCCGAAGGCGGGCCGCTGGCTGCGGTTCTCGCCATCATGTCCTTGGTTTCGCGGACCAGCACTTTGTAAATCCGCGCGACCTTGGTGACCTACGCTTCCTCGTCCAGTTGTGCTGCGATCCTGGCCCGGAGGCTGGTGAGCTTCTCCTCGGCCCGCTCCGGGGTGGAGCGCAGCTGGCGCAGTCTCTCATTCGGCGGGATCACGAGCGTGATGTTCTCCGCCGTGACCGCCGCCTCATACTCCAGGTTGTCGGATGCAACACCTTCGGATCGCGCTCCCGCGATGTCTTCCGCCAGCCTGGCGAGTCGCTGGCTGCGGGTGTTCCGCCAGACCTCGAGCATCTCTGGGTCCGACGGCGGCGAGCTCCACGACACGTGACCCGGCGCCTCTTCGAAGGACACGGGCAGCACCATGTCGAGGACGTCGCGCTGCTTCTCGGTGAAGCCTCTCTGCTGCTAAATCCGCGGCGCCTGCCGGCCTGCTGCTGAGGCCGTGGCGCCTGTTGGGCAGCGGTTGCGCCTGCGCCTGTTGGTAGGCGTGTCTTCCTGCCAGTTGTTCTGCTGCCACTGGCCTTGGGGCCAAGCAGAACCCTGCCACTGTTGCTGCTTCCGTCCAGTGCTGGTCTGGTGCTGCTGGTTGCGCTGGGTGCTGCGCGCACGCTGCTCTCGCCACGGCCAGGGGCTCTCCCCGACTGCTGTGCCCGAGGACGTTTTCCTCTGGCCGGCACTGGCCGCAGCACCAGCGGGCTGCTTGGGTGCCATCGTGCTGTGGTGCTCGGCCGAGGTCGAAGCGGCACCCAGCACTCTGAGCAGCACGCGCGCTGCTGCCCTCTTGGTGCGCTGCCTGCGGTGCCTGACGCAGGCCCCTCGCGAGGCCTCGTGGCCGCGAGGCCTGAAGCGCAGCGGCTGCGACTCCTCGCCGCGGCTGCGCCGATGCGGCGGCGGCGATGGGCCGCCGCGGCGCGCGAGCCCCGGCCCCAGGGCAGGCCGCACGAAGGGGGGGGGGAAGGTGGAACGACGACCGACCCCCACTCGCCCCGCCGACGACGGCTAGCCCTCCTGGGCGAATGGCTTTATTCCTCCTCCTCCTCCTCCTCCTCCCACCTGCTTCCTCCTCCTGCTCCTCCTCCTCCTCCTCCTCCTCCTCATCATCATCATCATCATCATCATCATCTTCATCATCATCATCATCATCATCATCATCATCATCATCATCATCATACTTATCATTATCATCATCATTATCATTATCATCATCATCATCATCATCATCATCATCATCATCATCATCATCATCATCATCAGCAGCATCATCATCATCATCATCATCATCATCCCTCTTGTTCCTCCTTCCTCCTCCTCCTCCTCTCCTCCTCTTCCTCCCCCTCCCTGACTCGTTGGCCCTGAATGATTTGTCGGTGTGTTCGGGGCCGTGGAGCTGTACTCGTCCATGGTCCGTTTCGATCCGACCGGTCCGATCCGATATCTGTACATTCGGTTCGATTCACATCGGAGGGTCCGATGCGTCCCGATGTTTGCGTGGCGCCGCTGTACATCCTAGCGCGGCCGATCCGACGCCGACTCCAACTGTGTGCCGATGTGGCCAGATTCGAAAGAGCGTGTTCTACCGCTGCTGGCGGAAAACCGGGGGGGGGTCACTACCGGTTCGAACCCCTCCCCCCCCCCCCTCCCCCTCCGGAAAACCGGGGGGGGTCACTACCCAAACCCCTCCCCCCCCCCCCTCCCCCTCCGGAAAAACCGGGGGGGGTCACTACCGGTTCGAACCCCTCCCCCCCCCCTCGGGAGCCTTCAGACGGGGGTCAATGCAAACGGGGGTCAGCCACGGCACCAGATCCTGCAGGATCCTGCGAAGACCCCCGCTGGCTGACCCGGTTAGCGAGCCGTTCGTGGCCGCGAGGCGGCCGCACATGTTGGCTGACCCGGGTTTGCGAAGACCTGCATTGCTTTTTTTTTCCTGCATTGCAGTTTTTGGTTTCCTGCTGACCCGGGTCTGGATTGACCCGGGTCAGAAGATCCCCGACCCCCCTTCATCATGAAAAGGGGGGGGGTCACTACCGGTTCGAACCCCCCCCCTCCCCCCTCGAAAACCGGTAGGGGTCACTACCGGTTCGAACCCCCCCCCCCCCCCTCGAAAACCGAGGGGGGGGTGCGGACAGTGGTGGGGACGGTGGTGATGGGGACAGTGGTGAGGGGACAGCGGGACAGTGGTGGGGACAGTGGGACAGTGGTGGGGACGGTAGTGGTGGGGACAGTGGTGAGGACAATGGTGGGAACAGTGGGGACAGTGGACAGTGGTGGGGACGGTGGTGGTGGGGACAGTGGTGTGGGGACAGTGGGAATGAGGTGGAAACAGTGGGACAGTGGAGGGTACAGTGGTGGGGACAGTGGTGAAGGCGGTGGCGAGGACGGCGGTGGGACAATGGGACAGAGGTACAGTGGGGACAGTGGTGCGGACAGTGGGGACAGTGGTGGGAACAGTGGGACAGCTTAGTGGGACAGCGGAGGAGTCAGTGG